GTCGGGTTCGGTGTTGAAATAGTGCAGGTAGGTCTGGGGGTGGAGGTGGGGGGGGGGGGGGGCATGCATTCACATGTATGTATGTGTTTCTGTATATGTTTCTGCTTTCGTTTCTGTATATGTGCATGTACATGTATATGTACATGTGTATGCATCTATACACATATAGTGGCACAAGCTTTTCAAGACCACTCTGATGCTTAAGCCTAAACGCGAAACCGTAAAACCTAAACCATAAAAAAAACCTACGCCCTGACTCCTAGAGCCGAAGCGCAACAGTCCGAAACGCCTCCTCAAACTTGAACCTAAACACCTTAACGGGTTTAGGGTTTAGGGCTTAAGGTTTAGGGTTTAGGGTTTAGGGACGCACTGCTTTGGCCGCAGTTGCCGATCCAGTTCAACGCAGCCCTGGGAACGTTGCCCTTCATGGCTCTGCGGCGGCAAAGTGACGAAGGCACGTGGAAGGTTTAGGGTTTAGGGTTTAGGGTTTAGGGTTTAGGGTTTAGGGTTTAGGGTTTAGGGTTTAGGGTTTAGGGTTTAGGGTTTAGGGTTTAGGGCCTATAGGGGGTTTAGAGGCTTGCAGGGTTTATAGGGTTGACCCGGTTTAGGGGCCAGAGGGCTAGGGGTATACAGGGCTTATGAGGGGTTTCTAGGGTTGTACAGTATCCTAAACCCTAAACCCCGAACCCTGAACCCTGAACCCCAAACCCTAAACCCTAAACCTAGGTTTTTTGCAGGGATTAGCGGCTATGATTAGCGGCTTTGAGGTCTAAAGCTTAGGGTTACCTGCACTCTGCGATGCAAGCATTCCTGAGCCTTCAACCCCGTGAAGCACAAATAAGCCCTAAACCCTAAACCCTACACCCTAAACCCCGCTGGTGTTTAGGATTTAGGGTTTAGGCTTCAGGCTTTAGGTTCTAGGCTTTAGGGTTTAGGGTTTAGGGTTTAGTCTTCGGGTTTAGGGTTTACAGCTTCTAAGCAGGCGGTTGCAGCATACGCCACCTCGCTTTGCCATGGCATGGATGGCCCTGGAAAGGTTTGCCAAGCTCAACCCTAGACCCTGAACCCTAAACCCTAAACCCTAAGCCCTAAACCCTAAACCCTAAACCCAAATTTTGTGGGCGAAAACCAACCCCAAAACCCACCATTGGACCATGCTCGTGGCGTCAGATCGCGGGGTTCTAAGGACTGTTAGTAGTAGAATGGGCAATAAGGCTTTAAAATCCCCATAATGAACCCTATAGAGGGCCTTTGAAGGGATTATAGGGTATAATAGCCCATCCTGGTAGTAGAAGGGGGGACAATCCCAAGCTCAAACCCTCACCGGTATAGACTGAACCCAGAACGCAAAACCCTAGAGCAAAAAACTCAAGCCGACACGCACAGACTTTCTGAGCCCTGAAAGCCCCTTAGGGTTTAGGTTTTAGGTTTTAGGGGGTTAGGTTTTGGGTTTAGGGGTTAGGGGTTAGGGTTTAGGGTTTAGGGCAAAGCACTTGCAATCCTAAGCCCAGAAAGCCCGCCAAACCTTGGCGCTTGTTTGCGGTTCAGGGTTCTGGGTTGTGCTGCAGTCCACCCTAAAGCCTACACCCTAAACCCTGACCCCTGAACCCTAAACCCTCTCCTGCAGTCCGCGAAAGCTACGGGCGCGAGCTGCGGAAACTGCTTGGAGACGAGTGGTTTGAGGCCCTCGGGAAGCAGTGGAAATCGCTAGTGTAAGGGGGTTTAGGGTTGAGGGTTTAGGGTTTGGGAAGGCGCAAGTCTGCAATCGGGCTGGGTGAACGGGATTCTTACGTGGTTTAGGTGTTTGATGGGGGCTTCTGGGTTTAGTTTTTGTTTGGGTGGGCATGCTTTTTGCGTCGGGGTCGGCATGGTTTCGTCGACATGCGTAGATAAACTGTCTATGGCCACAGACCCAAACAAGTCTATGCCGCTATGCACCTCAAGCCTGCAACCCAACCTTAAACTTTGTGATACTTTACTGTATCTTTAGATCCTTACCTTTTTGAGGTTTATTGGGTTTCTTCCTAAGGCCGCTAAACGTTTAATTTATAGCTACCCTCCTGAGTGCAGCCAACTAAACCTCAAGCCCCAAATCCTTATTTAGTTTTTTGGGGATGTCTAGATAGAAAATTATGTAAACAAGAATCATTTTCCAGCTTCTTCCATATGAAGTCTGAGCGCTTGGGCGAACGTGTGTCAATTAATTCTCAGACATCACTGTGACCAGCATTGAGAAATATCAGAGATTTTGCTTTTAAGTTTGACTCCCTAGCAAACCCTAAGCCCTAAACCTTGAGCCCTAAGCACAAAACCCTAAGCCCAATGTGCTACTTTGCAACTCCTTAAGCTGAACCAGCCGGAAAAACAGAAGGGTTAAGTGAAGGGTGGGGTGCAGCGTTGTAGTTTGGGCGGTCACTGGAGTTCAAGGGTTTAGGGTTCAGCAAAAGGTAAAACCTGTGTGAAGGCTCATGCAGCTGAAGCTACAGTTCCAGTACTTCTAACCCCACCACCCCAACACAGACCTCGAAACCCCCACGCCCTAACCTGCCCTTCACCACCCTAAACCACCCCAAACCACCCTAAACCACCCTGTTACAACCCTAAACCCGAAACCCTAAACCCTAAACCCTAAACCCCCACCACCCTGATCCCTATGGATTCCGGGCCGCTGCGATGAATGGATCCGGAGTCCGTTCCCAGAAACTCCCGCGTGCGGCTTCAAGATTTCACCATGATCTCACCCTACTTGGAGGTTTAGGGTTTTGGGTGTAGGGTGTAGGGTTTAGGGTTTAGGGTTTAGGGTTTAGGACCCACAGTCGGCCCTTATTTCCCACCGGACAAGTGGGGTTGTTAGTTGTTAAGGACAAAGCGGTGGCGCACATCATGTGGCGCACATCATGCGACGCGGCTCTCAGGACGGATGCAGTACAGCACTGAGGACCACAGGCAGACAGCGGGGAGTACGAGATTCAGTACACAAGGGCAGGGAAGGGAGGCTCAGCGGGCAACTGTGCCAGAATGTGGCCAGATGCAATAAGCAGACCAAGGAGGCTCAGGTGGGCAACTGTACCGGAATGTGGCCACGCACACTAGCGGGCCAGAAAGGCTCAGACGGGCAACTGTACCGGAATGTGGCCACACACAATAGCAGGCCAGGGAAGCCCCTAAGCCCCCGAAGTAGGCTGCAAGTAGACTTACAAATCCCCTGAACTTCCTAAACCCTAAACCCTAGACCCTAAACTTAAACCCTAAACCCGAAAGCTGGGGTCATAAAGTACCCATGAACCTCCAACCCAGAGAGCCCAATACCCCTTACTTAAGGAATATGCCTTAAATTATACAGGGATCCTTAATATGATTTAAGCAATATTCCTTAATTAAGGGGTTTTGGGCTCTTTGGGAAGTAGGTTCGGCTTCCTGCGACTTGTTGGCAGGCAGCGCGGAGTGAGGCGATGACGCAGGAGTTCAGGGTTCAGGGACCCTAAACCCTAAACCCTAAACCCTAAACCCTAAACCCTAAACCCTAAACCCTAAACCCCCCAAAGCCCCTAAACTCTAAACCCCTAAACACCCTAAACGCCCTAAAGCCCTAAGCCCTTAAGGCCCAAAAGTGGAGGGCGTTGGGCTTCAGGCTAGGGTTCCCAACAGCTAAAAGAACTACTGTACATCTTGGTAACCCAGCAGTTTAGGGTTTAGGGTTTAGGGGTTTCGGGTTTAGGGTCTAGGGGTTTCCTGATAGAGTAACCAACACCACAAAGGGTACGTACCCTTATTAGACTATGGTTCCTGCGCTTACCAAGACATTGGGAGCCTGCAGGTAGGGCTCCACTGGGTTTTTCAGAGCTTTGCGGGGATGTAGCTTAGAGGGTTCAAGGGGATAGAGTGTTGACCTGTTTTGGGGGAACTGAGAGCCCCTGAGGGAAATTTTGGGGCTTAGTTTGCTTTTGGCGTGGTTCGGGGGCTTTGGGTGGCTTAGGGTTTAGGGTTTAGGGTTTAGGGTTTAGGGTTTAGGGTTTATAGGGTTTAGGGTTTAGGGTTTAGGGTTTAGCGAGCCTCGTTGCGTCTTGTGCCGTTCCCGAAGGCGCTGAGGACTAAACCATCGGGGGTCCCTTAAAAAACACTCGGGGGGGGGGGGTTCCCTAAACAACGTGGATTTCAAGTTGTTTTCCTAATTGGGGGGGGGGGGGGGGGGGGGGGGGCGAAGGGCATGGCAGGGCATCACATGCCACGAGGCGTGGGCCGTGAAGCTCGTCAAGTTTTGCTGCTTGTGTTGCTTTTGGTTGTGTCTGTTCTATGCGAACATCCGCGAGCAGATGGCAGCACATGTAAGATTAAAAAATCATGGACCATCATGGACTCTACAGGTACCGATCACCTGAGAAACGGAAATCATGAGTCACGTCCATGTACGATTCGAAGCATCACGGGCTCTACACGTACCGATCACCTGAGAAACTCTGTCCTCAAGTTTAAGATGGGCCGGTATCTGTCAAAGCTTGTATTCCCGTGCTGATCCGTGCTGCCATGGGGTGGACTGTTACATACAGATCCTACGAATCGGGGAGACGTGTTTGCCCGTACCCCAGAGCTCTGCTGTCTCGACATGTCTCGGCGGTTTCCTTTTTGATTGTGTGCTTGGACTAGACTACCTGCCGAGATCACTTCATCTATCGGGGCGGAGCACTGGTTTCCAAGCTCTTTGACAGCAAGCGGAAGGCCTGGCAATGAAAACCATTTGGGTTGGGTTGAATGTTCCATAATGTCGGCAGGCAGACGAATGGGCCGATGCCAACAAAGTGCCGCAGGCGGCAGAGATCGCCGATCCCCGATCCCCACAATTGCACTCCTGAGGCCCTCGGCCCCGAATCTTCTTGTCCGGCCAGGCGACGGAGGACTTGAAGAGGCTGGCCAGGGAGAGCTGCACGAGCGATCCAGGATATGGCGAAGCTTCTGAGGCGCAGCGGGGTTTAGAGCGGCTTCTCCCAATTCGGCACACTCCAATGATTTCCAGTGTGCTTTGTTTTACAGCGTTACTGGATCTGGAGGTGACAGCTCAAGCCGCGGACGTGGCGGTGACAGCTCAAGTTGCAGGGTCCACGGCGCCGGATGTCGAGGTGACAACTCAAGCAGCGGATGTGCAGGTGACAGCTCAAGTCGGAGGGTCCACGGCACCGGATGTCGAGGTGAGAACTCAAGCAGCGGATGTGGAGGTGACAGCTCAAGTCGGAGGGTCCACGGCGCCGGATGTCGAGGTGAGAACTCAAGCAGCGGATGTGGAGGTGACAGCTCAAGTCGGAGGGTCCACGGCACCGGATGTCGAGGTGAGAACTCAAGCAGCGGATGTGGAGGTGACAGCTCAAGTCGGAGGGTCCACGGCACCGGATGTCGAGGTGAGAACTCAAGCAGCGGATGTGGAGGTGACAGCTCAAGTCGGAGGGTCCACGGCGCCGGATGTCGAGGTGAGAACTCAAGCAGCGGATGTGGAGGTGACAGCTCAAGTCGGAGGGTCCACGGCGCCGGATGTCGAGGTGAGAACTCAAGCAGCGGATGTGGAGGTGACAGGTGCAGGGTCCACGGCGCCGGATGTCGAGGTGACAACAGACAGCCTGCTGGCTCACGCAGCTTCCGTGCAGAAGCGTGGCACGTGGCTGGAGCTACCCGATTTGGCTTTGTATGCATACTCAAGCGGTGCGTCTTTGACACTAGTGATCAATGCAGTTCCATGGTCGGAGACGCCCGCCCTGCAGTTCATGTCCAATCTGCTGGAGGCTAGCCTGGGCAGCTTGAACTTCGGCAAGGCCTCCGACTCCGAGTGGGTGTGCTTCCTGACCCCATCGTCCTTCCAGCCATGGGATGGCCGGCATGTGCCTGAACTTAATCACTGGCTTCCAGCATTCCGGATACACAAGGCCGCCGATCCAGAACGGCTCAGGTCCATGGCTTGCAACGAGGTAGCACGCCTACGTGCACTGGCGATGTCAGATGCTGCAGTGAGAGGGCTCGCGTGGCCAGAGTACCTCTCCCTGCCGGAGAAGTTGCCGAACCACTACCTTTTCACTGTCAAGGCCCTGGAGAAAGGGTTTTGCTGTTGGGACGTGCCTGGAGATGGAGATTGCGGTGTGCACAGTGTGGTGGCCCTCATGCAGGACCCACAACTCCCGAAGACCCACACTGGCCCAGAAATGCACTTCGCAGTAGAGATTGGCTTAATAAGGGATCCCAAGAACCCAAACTGGTCCAGAAATGCATTTTGCAGTAGAGATGGGTCAGAAAGGGCCTGGGGCTCACGCCGTCCAGCATTTGCAGGACTCGCCAGAGAAGGCGATGCTGGTCGCCTCAGGTGTGTTCTGGAGTGGCAGCGGCGAAGCCACAGCACGCGTTCGATCTGAACTTGCCGAGGCTTGGCAGACTGTGTCTGAGATTCCGGCCTGGTGTGTGCTGGCTTCCCGCTTCTTTCCAGCTGCTTGCCCGGCCAAGTGCAATCACCTGCCCAGCACAAGCGGTGCAGATACAGCCGCAGTAGCAGCTGCCCGAGCTGCGGTGCTTCAAGCCTCCACCCCCAGGCGCCGGCCAAAGCGTGAAAGATCGCAGACACCAGAGCACTGCAAGCCAGTTGTACCCGGGAAAGGCGCGGCCGTTGCAGGTCAGGTAGACAGACAACACGCCCTGAAGCCCTCCCTGTTAACTATATGATCTTTGGTAGGGTAGAGTGGGTTGCGGTCCTCAGGCGACGCCAGCAGCTTGCAATCAGCGGTCCGCCTTTCAGAAGATGGGCAGGTTGTGTCAGTGCAGCTACCATCCCTGCCGGACAGACAGCCCCGCAGCGCGGAGCAAGCAGCTTCCGCCGAGACCACAGTCGCTAAGAAACGTGGAAGGTCGCCTCTCGGTCCTCAGCCGCGGCGTCACCGTAAACGGACCCGTGCCGAGGTGGATCTATGCAACAGGGTGGAGAAGAGAGCGCAGGAACGCTTGGATCTGGCAAACATCACGTTCAATGGCCACTTTCAGCAAGCGCACCGAGGCCGTTTTCCGCCAGGCCACTGGAGAGAATTTCTGTTCTGTGTTGCGGGCGAGCAGACGACCATGGACTGTGCCAAGTGCAAGGATCTGCTGGCAAAGGTGGCTGAGGCAGCCGCGCTATCTGGTCCATTGCCCGAATCGGATAGACCTGTGAACGCGACAGGGGAGGCAGATCAACTGGTGGAGACAGGGGAGGCGGTGGCCTGCCAGGGATCGGAGCCGCAGGCTCAGGAGCTGCAAGGTGGTGTCAGGACCCGGGAGGGCACCGGACGCAAGCGGGGGCGTCCGGCGAAGGGCTCATCTACGTTCGATGTGCTGCTGTATGTGGCTGGCCTGGACCCTCCGACGTACCTGGTGCTGGACCGAGCGAAGCCGGTAAAGTTGCAGTGTGTGCTCTGCGGTTGGGTGTTCCATTGCCACGGCAACTCCGATTACAGCATTGAGCGCCATCAGACGAGCCAGGCCCACCGGTTGGCTGTCCAGCGGGTGCAGCCCACATGCTCCCTGGCGGGCAAGAGCGCGAGGGAGTCAGAGAGGCCTGCCTGTGTCGGCATCCGTGCCGACGACAAGGGATACATGCTCCACAGTGTGCGCGAGGCTTTGGAGATTTGGTTTGGCGCGGGCTGCCCTGCCGCCGTCCAACACCCATACGAGGGCTACCTGCTCAGTGCGCAGCCGGACGGTGCCTTGATGCTGCGCGCCTCCGTGTGCAAGGAACAGGGAGCTGGGTGCATCATGGGTGCAAATGCATGCCGAGACTGTGCGGATGCGGCCAATCGTGGCAAATTTATCCAGTTCCTTGCTGTTTGGGGTATGCGCCTGGACTCCATATCGCTCCTTCACCAGTGGATCCTGGGAGTGCAGAAGCGGGACGAGTGCTTGCAGGAGCTGGTAGGCAGAGATTACTGGAACGTCCTGGGAACCTGGTCCGCCTTCGCCGAGCGAGTGCGACAGGGCACCTTTGAGGAGTTCCTGAACAGCCTGCGTGAGCAGTTGCTTAGCAGTCCTGTCAAGACACGGAACAGCTCCCTGCGCATGTTGCTGGAGGCCCTGTGCGGGTTGCCTGTGCGTGTCTGTCTCCTGTAGGGATCGGAAACATGTCTGGGCCAGGCGCGCCTCATCTGGCTCACTCCGGGACTCGCTCGTCTTTCCGGACGGGAGGAGTCTCGCCAAGCCCTTCAAGAGTTCAGCGACTACCTTGTTGCCAGGAAGTCCAGCCAGGCAGGTCGGGGGAAGGTTGTTTCTTCTACATGGGTTCCCACTTTCCGCAGGCATCGCCCGCGGAGCTGCGAGCCGCCAGATGGATCGTGGAGGGGAAGCTGTCCGGGGAAGAAGTCGTGAAGCAGCTCGTGCTGCACATGTGCTCAAAGATGGAGAAGTGCCTGGGCATCGGAGTGGGGTCCGGAGGGGGGGGGGGGGGGGGGCAGGTGAATCGTAGTCGCTGATTGGTGACATTTTGCAAACATGCTAGTTCTAGTACGGAGTACATACTATGTGCCGCTGGGCAAGAAAAAAGAAGAAAAAAAAGACCTCGTAAAAAGAAAGACAGCAACAGGGCTTCGGGGCAGCCCAGCATGTAGACACAAGTACAGGTAGCCACACACGACGCTGGGGCTCACGCAGTCGAGTACAAGCCTGCTTCCTAGGCTCTCGCGGGGTGTCACGAAGAGGACTGGAGTCTCCACGATAGATGGAGTAAGCTTGGCCGAATGCGGGTTCAGCCTGGGCTCCGTCCTGAACAAGCAGGCCCTCATGGATCTCTTCGGGCTGACGAAGACAGGCGCGGATGCTGCACCGCTGACGTGGGACTTCTTGCCGCAACCCTGGGCTGCGACTGGGGCAGACTTGCGCTCAAACGTGACCCAGGCGGGGGCTCTAAAGCACTGCACTGACCATGCCTTACATGCGCTGCTCTCCGGCCACAGCGACAGATGTGTTATTGCACACAGTCTGCGCCGCTGTACCTTGTCCAAATGCAACTGACTCCGCGCCTGGGCCGTGTAGTCGGCAGCTGGCGGGAGCAGTCAAGCTAGAGCACTCCGCGCCTGGGCCGCGTCATCGGCAGCTGGCGGGAGCATACAGTACCAGAGTTTGAATCACGAGTACATAGTCTGCGCCGCTGTACCTTGTCCAAATGCAACTGCCTCCGCGCCTGGGCCGTGTAGTCGGCAGCTGGCGGGAGCAGTCAAGCTAGAGCACTCCGCGCCTGGGCCGCGTCATCGGCAGCTGGCGGGAGCATACAGTACCAGAGTTTGAATCACGAGTACATGGTCTGCGCCGCTGTACCTTGTCCAAATGCAACTGACTCCGCGCCTGGGCCGTGTAGTCGGCAGCTGGCGGGAGCAGTCAAGCTAGAGCACTCCGCGCCTGGGCCGCGTCATCGGCAGCTGGCGGGAGCAGACGTTATTCTCGCACTAGTCATACGCAGTACATACTACATGCCACTGGGCAAGAAAAAGAAGAAAAAAAAAGACCTCGTAAAAAGAAAGACAGCAACAGGGCTTCGGGGCAGCCCAGCGTGTAGACAGATGTACAGGTCAAAGGGGCTGGGGCTCACGCAGTCCGCCTGAATAACAAGGTCTTGACAGGCCAAGCTTTCCGCAGCAAGCTCGGTTCCTGCGACTGGCTGCGAGAGTTGGCTTTCTGAGGCTCCGAGAGGGTTGTTTGGTGGAGGGTCCGTCTGCAGAAAGAGCAGGAGACACCGTGAACATCCCATGGCTTACCCTAAACCCTGGACTGCCACCTCACAGGCACGGCTCAGTCGGCAAGCAATCACCCCGCGCTGCTCGAGGCGGCTCAGGGATCTCAGGGCGGGCCTCACAGGTCGTATAAGGCGGCTTAGGAGTACCTGAACTGTGTGCTGCAAGGGGCCCAACCTGTGTCCGAAATGCAGTTTGGGCCCAGGTTGGGTCTGTGGGGTTGTGTGACCCGTGATTACCCGGAGTAGGGTTTAGGGTTCAGAGTAGAGTGGAGTTCCGGGTTTGGGGTTTAGAGATGTTTAGAGTAGGGTTCAGGGTTTGGGGTTTAGAGTTTGGAGTCCAGGGCTTCAAGCTGTTAGCAGTAGTAGGGTTTGGGGTGAGAGTTTGGACTGCAGGGCTTCCTGTTGTAGCCGCGTGCACGCACAGACCATGGAGGTCAGCCTGGTTCCAGACATAGAGGGCTGGACTGTCTTAAACCGACAGCAGCTGCTCCCTGTCATGCTGAATGTCATGCTCGTCCGGCGTGCCGCTGACCGGCACGATGGCGCAGGGCTGGATCGCCCTTTTGTTCGGCGCCTGGCCGATACGCAGGTGGACCTGCGCTTTGGCGTCGGTTCGGAGGCTCTGCGTGACACGGCCGCTGGCAGGTCACGGCTTACGGTGGCCGACCTTGTTCGGGACTGCAGGATCGGGTGGGAAGTCACGGATGCAACCAGCCGCCTGCACCGAGACATCATCAGGCAAAGCACAAAGAAAACACGGAGTCTGCACGCGTATTTCTTATCCCGGTTCTCTGGGCGGGAACTGGCTCGCAGCATAGCGTCCGCCGGAGGGAAGCTACAAGGCCGTACCATGGAGGAGATAGTGACCTGGGCGTACGACCTGGTGCAGGATCCCAGGGACCTGTTTTCTGCAGCGTTCCGTCCTCAGAGCACTTTTCGGAGCCAGGCAGCCAGGATGCAGAGGCAGGAGTTTCTGCAGCCGCAGACGCTTCGTGACATCTTCAAGCTGTCTCTGGACCCAAGCAAGGTCGTGGTGAAGGACACCTCTGGCCGCTTCCTCCGCAAACGTGAGGTCATGAAGAAGCTGAAGGGCTTGAGGGGCTCAGGCCCCTTTCTAGCCAAGCACATGTGGCGGATAATGCATGGCTTTGCCTTGAACTGCGGTCCCCATGATGCCACGTATGCCGAAACAGGGCCCGGAGCCCGAAAGTTTTTGAATCTGTGGAGCGGATTCCCTGCCCAGTTTTCCGCGACGTCTACAGCGCAGTCGGCCGCAGATGCCTTCAACGAGATTCTCCATCGCGCACAGAACGACGTACGGAACGAGCTGAACCGTCGCATCCGCGCAAGCCAGGTGGACGAGGAGAAGAACCTGCTTCGCACTTTCGCCGCCGAGGTCAGCAACGTGGATGTCTTCCAGTTTTTCTGCTGCGAATGCTGGCGCTTGGTGGACTACGTGTTCAGCCGCCATCGGCGGTACTTGCGGGGTCATCGGTTGGGGCCGGAAGAAGACGAGGTTGACTGGGACGACGAGTGACAACGGGGGTTCGCGCCGTCGCACGGACCGCAGGGTGCTTAGTGCACGCAACCCAAAAAAATTTTTAAAACAACAAACGGTTCAGGGTTAAGGGTTGTGGTTTTAGGGTTCCGGGTTTGGGGTTTAGGCTGAACCTCCCTTCGCACAGGCGCTGACGCGACTGCTCTGGGCAAGAGGTCGGCTCCAGAGCGGTTCCAGGGTTGGGGCGTGCAAGGGACAAATAACCTCCGAAGCAGCCTGGGGTTAAACCCTAATCCCTAAACCCTCGACCCTCGAAGCAGCCTGTGTGGCGCCAAGTGTAGCTCTCAATTTCTTGAACCCTGAACCCGAAGCAGCCTGTGTGGCTCCACGTATAGCTCTCAATTCCTTCAACCTTGAACCCTAGACCTCCGAAGCAGCCTGTGTGGCGCCAAGTGTAGCTCTCAATTTCGGGAACCCTAAACCCTAAACCTCCGAAGCAGCCTGTGTGGCGCCAAGTGTAGCTCTCAATTTCGGGCACCCGAAACCCTAAACCTCCGAAGCAGCCTGTAAGGCGCCATGGAGCCGTGTGCCTACCCATTCAAATCTCACTGACTCCGCGCCTGCCACACCAAACCGGGGTTGAACCCTAATCCCTGAACCCTAGACCTCCGAAACAGCCTGTGTGTAGCTCTCAGTTTCTTGAACCGTCAACTCAGTGTGGAACCCTAAACCCTAAACCTCCGAAGCAGCCTGTAAGGCGCCATGGAGCCGGGAACCCTAAATCCTGAGCCTCCGAAGCAGCCTGGGCTTTAGCCCTAAGCCCTAAACCCTAGACCTCCGAAGCAGCCTCTGTGGCGCCAAGTGTAGCTCCCTAAACCCTCAACCTCCGAAGCTGCCTGTCAGGCGCCATGGAGCCGTGGTCACCACAGTCGGCACAGACGCCAGTCTGGCGAAAAATGCAGGCCAGGAGGCATGTGCTGGACGGCGTGAGCCCCAAGCCCTTTCTGACCCATCTCTAGTGCAAAATGTATTTCTGGACTAGTTTGGGTTCTCGGGATCCCTTTCTAAGCCAATCTCTACTGCGAAGTGCATGTCTGGGCCAGGGTGGGTCTTCGGGATGCAACCCATGACGTCAGGCTTGGCTGGAGTTGGGGCAGGCCATGCTCGAGGATCCTGACAGTCCTGAGCTCAGATTCTCAAAGCTTCGTCGGTGTTAAGCGAACCCGCCCTGACTGTAGGACAGACCCCGGAGCCGCCAAAGTGGACAGACCCCGGAACGCCTCTATGGTGGCTACTTCCCAACGCAGCAGGAGGCCACGGATGCCATGCGCAAGCGGCTGCGCCAGGAACCGAGCTGATGACGTACGAACTTCGCGCGGGGAGCGCGAAGTTCAGCACTGCGGGAGGCCCAAGAAAGACATAGTGTTGGGACAGGGAAAGGGAGAGTGATAGGGGCTCACGCCGTCCAACACGCATTGATCAGGCGGCTGCTGCGGCTGGCCTCCTGCGCGGGACAGTACATCGCACAACCCGCGGAAAGAAAATAGAACACTCCTGTCAGGATATGTTAGAAGGCTAAAGTAGTGTCCGCCCTTGAATGTGGACAGGCACTGGGCCTGCTGGGCGTGGAGAGCCGTCGCGACTACATGGTTGTGTTTGACGACACTGTCTTCTGCGCAGGCTATCACCTACTTCACAGCGGCAAGCAAGGCCGCCGTATTGTCGGCGGGGTCTCGGACCCCATGATAGACCCAGAATTGAGACCCGTGCTTCAGAAGCAGGATCTAGCGCAACTGGAGCTGTTCTGGTGCCTCAAGCGAGTGGACACGAATTCCGGGCTGTGGGCTGTGCAGGTGCAGCCACGGAGACACAAGGATGTACAGTCACAGCGGCTCTTGCTTGATCTGGGCAACCTTCTGCACGAGTGCACGGTTGTCAACGGCCTGCCGCCGCTTGTCGTGGCCGCCGATTCACATCCAGCACACCAGATGACCATCCGCACCCTGCTTTGCATACAGCCGCCGCCGCAAGCCCTGTTCTGGAGTGATTGTGAAAAACCAAGCAGCCTCGGCTTCAACTTGTTTCCCTTCAACGCCCTGCGATGGAAAGAGCATGCCTTGTTCATGACGGTGGATGGTCCTCACGCTCTCAAGGCCATGGCCCGTGCCCTGAGAAGCAGTGTGCGTGTTCTTCAGGTGGGCAGCGCCTGGTGCTGCACAACCACCCTGCTGCAAGGCAGTCAGAAGGCGCCCCTGGAGGCATTTCTGGGGAAGGACCAGCAAAGTGACAAGCAGGCGGCATGGATGCTGAATCCAGCAGCCGTTCCGGAGGGCTGCTGGAACTCGGGAGGCTTGGTTCTGCTACAGTTTGTTTTGAGTGTGGTGCTAGCTCCCTGGCACGCAGCTGCAAAGCTGAGCACCATGCAGATCTTCCAGTGCGCAGCCACCGGCTACTACATGACCTTGCTCATGGTGTCTCAAGCCCACCGTGACCACGGAGGTCAGTGGGAACGGGCGTGTTTTTCCCGGCCCACGGCTGCAACAATGGTGCAGCTTTGCGCGTGTGCCATGGTACGTGTGGCCCATTGGCCGGCCGATGCGCCGTATCAGCCGGAGAAGACACTAGAACATGCGATCGAATGCTGGTTCTCGGCCGTGAAGGCCGGGCACCGAGGGAACCCGAACATCAAGGACGCTATCCTCGGAGTGGATCGCCTTCACATGAAACAATACAAGCAACTTGGCTAAGAAAGGGCAGGCCTCCGGGTACTTGAAGGCCGACAAGGGCTCACGCCGTCCGGGTGAAAGTTATGCTTACTGAAACCAAGGAAGAAAGCAGCGACTCCCAACGAAAAGCGACTGGTGGATTCTCTGTCCAGGGAGTCCTTGCGAAAAGCTGCCGATGAGAGTCTCCAAACAGCCTGCACCTTCTTCGCGGCCTGCAGTGTGCAGGTGACACCGAGCCACCTTTCCGATGACCTGGCACAGTGGTGGGAGGAATGCGGCAAGGAGCTTCTTCTGGGTGAGATGTCCTTACAGGAGGAAGACTCCGATGAATCCGACTCGGAGGACGTGGCCGAGATGCCCGAGACGGGAGTACTGGAGCCAGAGGCCGGGGTGTGAAGACCCATGTAGGCCGATAAACTACTTTACATGCATAGTTGGGTCCTGCCAGAAAGGGAGAGCGAGAGGGGCTCACGCCGTCCAGCCTCTCTAAATGCAGGTCGACCCCGCCAACGAGCTCCTGTGCCTGGAGTTCCAAAAGGAAGCCAAGAACGACATGCAGAAAATCATGACAACAAGCGGCGAGCCCGCGTCGCTAGCTGTCTCAGAGCCTGTCACCGATGTGCTGGATGCGCCCAGAACTCCTTCGGACGTGCTCCGTGTCGCTGGCCTGTCTAATTTCAAAGGCAACGCGTGCAATGGAAAGCCAGAGGACATTGCATGCTTAGGGCGCATCGAACAACTTCAGTCTCCATGCCGAGCATTCACTTCCTTCGTGCGCCTGTGCGAGGGCTTCCTTTCCAAGACGCAGGCCAGGCGGGTAGCGGTTGAAAAATGTTGAAATGCTCAGGGTCGAGGCTCCGGACTCCGGATGAGTCCGTCTTTGCACATTCTTCTGCGTCTCTGCAGGTGGAAGGCGCCTCAGCTGACCTGAACGACGCACAGCTTCTCGAGCATTGGCTGTCCCAGTCAAGACAGCTGATGGAAGCGAGTAGTCACCGAACTAGCCGGTTCTCAACTTGGGCCAAGTTTGGCCAGGAATGTGAGCAGTTGGTGTCTGCTGCATCCGGAAGTCAGCTCATGACTGCCATCAAGGAGTTCCGTCCCCCACACGTGTGCACTGCAGAGGGCGCTCTCAATTATCAGGTGGTGGCTGTCCGGGAGCATTCCATGGCGAAGCCAAAGCTGGGCATCGTCTGTGCTGCGTTCAGAGGCGTGCAGAAAAGCAGGAATTCTGGGGGCACTAGATCCCAGGCAGCAGGAAACATCGCCGCTTGCACCCTGAAAGCTGCACAGGCCAAAAAAATCCATGTGGTGTTGCTGACGCCTGGCAACAAGCCGGAACAGTTCATCGGCTCCATTCTCCACCCGGTCATCAACTTGCAAGTGCACTCCGACAGCGTTTTGCTGGAGATCCCGACAAAGCTGTATAAAGTTCAGGAGCTTCGAAGCGCCGTGCAGATTCAGTTGTCAAAGGAGACACTGGCCCAATGGCTACAGCTGCGACAGTCGGAGGTGCCGAACATCCTGGCCTCATCGAAAGGAGCCGAGGTGGTGCTGAAGCCACAGTTCACTGCCGAGAGCTTCAGCGCCTCCAACAAGGGCAAAGCAAACATCGCCAAAGCATTCCAAGTTTGGGTGGAGTGCCTTGACTCGGTACACAGAACATCCCTCGTCACTCAAACCGCCAAACCCACAATGAACGTGCCATGGTATGGTGAGTAGGTCGGTAGGTCGCTGGAGACTTGTTGCCTTGAAGTGCCCAGGTTGCATCAGAAGGTTTGGGGCTCGCAGCTCTTGCATTCCGGGAAACTCCAGATCAAGAGCCAACCGGACTGGAGGGCGTTCTTGGAGAGAGCCCCAAAGTACCTCATCGGCTTCTTCAAGGGCACAAAGGGCGACTTCGGGAATTGGTGCCTTGAGCAATTCCGCTTCTACTTGCCCTCCAGGGAGACTCCAAAAAGTCGCTTGCCGGGGTGGTTGAGTGAGATCGATCGTCTTGCGCCGCAGGCTCTGCCCGCAAGCTCAGCCTAGACTGTCAACACCAATACCCGACACAAGCCCCTGAAGTTTGAGCTGGTCTAGCCCAATACTTTACAGAAACCCTCGAACTTTAAGTCCCTCAAGCATCGCCTGACCCAACCCTCCTCAGAAATGCATTTTTGGCATAGGTTGGGTCTTCAGGCACTAACTATTTGGGTGCGACCCTAAACCCCAAAGACCCGTGGGACGTCGAGCAGTGAAGCTGAGCTTGCTTTTGGCACAGGGGGTCCGAGCTCCGGCGCAGAAGTCGCTTGGGCTGCGGCTGTCAAGGATTGCGAAGGGGGTGGCTAGGGGTAGCGAGAGCGAAAAAAAGAGCTTTCCTGGTGACTTTGCCCTGTCCGGCAGATTGATGACCTGAGTCAGAGGTCCGTGCGTGCTGCTTAATAAGCTTGTGTTGGGGATAACACCATAGGTTCAAAAATCTGGGAGGGCAGCTACCCACTCACAGCCCGGAACTGAAAATCCACACGAACCAAGGATCGACCCCCTTGAAAACACACTTGGGGGGGGCCCCCCCCCCCCCCCGCCAACAAGCCCTGATACTAAACCTCTATAAGGAGCTCAGCATAACCCTACACCCTAAACCCTAAACCCCAAACCCTAAACCCTAAACCCGAAACCCTGAACTCTACACCCTGAACCCTAAACTCTAGACCCTAAACCCCAAACCCCAAACCCTATATCCCCACAACGAAGAGCCCGAAGTCCTCAGCCCTAAGCCCTAGATCCCTACAAGGAGCTCAGGATAACCCTACACCCTACACCCTACACCCTAAACCCTAAACCCTAAACCCTAAACCCTAAACCCCCTTATGAACTCAGCAACTCGGAGTTCGCAGGAGTTGCGTGAGGAGCTCGTCTCTGCTTTGGAGCAGAGGCCCCTCGGCGGCCTAAACCCTAAACCCTAAACCCCAAACCCTAAACCCTAAACCCTAAACCCTAAACCCCAAACCCTAAACCCTAAACCCTAAACCCCAAACCCTAAACCCTAACCCTAAACCCTAAACCCTAACCTTAGGAATGGGGGTGTAGGAATTAGGGTTTTCGGCCTCAGGGTTCCCCAAACACCGGGCTCTCAAGACCCATCTGCGCTGAAGCCAGGTCCTCAAAAAACTGTGAAATGCCCTAGAACTGCCACAGAACTAAGAGGCGTTCACCTGGTTTTAGGGTTTAGGGTTTAGGTTTGAGGGTTTAGGGTTAGCATTGAGGCCCTGCTAAGGTCAAGGCTTCTAGTAGAGTTCGAGCAGTGGTCGACAAATTGACAGCCAGCAAGCCCTTCAGGGTTTAGGGCTTGAGGTCTAGATCCAAAGCCCTGAAACTTATATACACCACCCTACACCCCAAACCCTAACATGCTCAGGGCAGCCTAAAGGGGATTAGAGCTACATAGGGTGAGGTTCCCCTTTGGCTAGACACTAAAGCCGCAGCCCTAAGCCCTACACGGAGGTTCATGGGTACTTATGACCCCAATTACGGGGTTTAGGGTCTAGGGTCTATGGTTTAGGGTTTAGGGTTTCGGGTTTAGGAGGTTCATGGGCACTTATAACCCCAATTATAAGTCTACTTGTAACCTACTTGGGGGGACAAAAGGGGGCTTATAAGTAAAGTTACAACTGGGGTTCACAAGTGCTGTGAACCTCCAAGTAAGCCCTGCAGGAATCCAACCCGCAACCCGATGACTTAGGGATACTTGGATTTTTGGGCACTATAATTCCTAACAAGCTAACACTATAATTCCTAAGAAGCTAACACCATAATTTTTTGCCAGGGTTCCCCAAAGTTCAGCGTAGATGAAGGCGCTTGCCCCACGAAGACCTGGTGCGGGAGTTGCTTGTTGCCGGTGCTGACATGCAGGCGTTCGAGGGCAGTAGGGGGTTGGATTTCGGGGTTCTAGGGTTCTGAGGTCAGAGGGATGTAGGGTTCATAGTGTAGGGTTACAGGGTGATGCGGTTTAGGGGGGGGGTTCGGGCTGAAGTTAGGGTTCTAGACTAGGCTTGTGCTGGAACTTGGAGGGCTTGGTGGCTCAATTTGGGGGGCTTCCCGGTGGCTCAGGGTTTTGCAGGGTTAGGGTTTTGCAGCGGTTTGGTGTCTGAGGGTAGCTGCATGGGCCCCCCTAGTATCTGGGGAACCCTTAGCCCTTACATACCCTATACCTATACATAAATCCCAAGGGCCCCTACTTCAGACCCCTTCAAAGAGAGGGGAAGGGACCATATGAAGGGACCGCGAAGCTTTCATCAGATATTATTTACCACTTTTGCCGGTCGTTCCTTGCAAGAGGTTCTTGTTGCTTGTGGGCACCTCAATACCCTTGCCACGAGAGGCCACCCCCCCCCCCCCCCCGCGCACCCACCCTAACACGTTACTGACGCCACGTTTCAACCCTGAGTAGAACCCCGAACCCATAAGGAATATCTAGGGCAAACAACCCAACCACCTTCTGCCCCTAACCTCTATAAATGAACCCTGGAAGCCCTCCAAACCCTGAACCCCAGTCGCCCTAAACCCTTAACGCTTAACCCTCAAAACCCTAAACTCTGAACGCCAGCTCTGAACACCAGGCTGCACCGCCCAACTTCTCCGATGGCGAGAGCAGCTGGATCTTGAGAAGCGTTTTTTTGTTTTCTTCTTTTTAGAAACCCTAAGCCGTAGACCCTAAACCCTAAACTCTAAACCGAGTTGTTGCATACCCGTACAAGCCCTATAAACCCTTTGAACATCTTTACGCCCTATGCCCTAAAAATGTGAAACCTGCAAACCCTTTATGCCCCATAGATCCCATAAGTCTATGCCCTGCAACTCTGAACCCTTAGCAGCCTTAAGCCCTAGCAATCTAGGACCCTAAACCCCTGAACCCGAAACTCTAGTAACACTAGTAACCCATAAACCTCTAAAGCCCGGTAACTCTGGCAAACCCTAGTCCCTAGCAACCCTAGTGAGGAACCCTAAATCCTAAACCCTTACCCCTCAACCCGAAATCCCAAACCCTAAGCCGCAAACCCTAAACCCTAAACCCCAAACCCTGAACCCTAAACCCTAAACCCTAAACCCCAACCCTGTACCCTGAACCCAAAACCCTCAGCTGCCGCCATATGAGGCAGTCACGAGGGTGAGGTTGGCCAGGACGAGCAGACCTGGAGAGCCGGGGCCCGAGCCTTCTGTGTTTTTGTTTAGGGTTTAGGGTTTAGGGTTTAGGGTTTAGGGTTTAGGGTTTAGGGTTTAGGGTTTAGGGTGTAGGGTGTAGGGTGTAGGGTGTAGGGTTTGGCTAGGTTTCGGGCTTCTTTTTTGAGCGTCTGGGAGCCCGAAGCCCAAAAAGAACCAACACTTGGGGGCTTTGTCTTTCCGGTTCTTAGCAGGGAATGAGGGAATTGGGTACCGATACCGCCTATACATATGGGTAGTTTTCCAAGCTAGGATACCTTTTCGGGCCTTCGTTTAAGGGTGCCGTGCCGCATCTAGGACCACTAAGAAGGGACACTAGAGAACTACCCGTATTATACCCTTTCATAAATGACATAATTCCCTTGCTCCGTACTAGAACCCGTAACGGATAGAGGGTGTTCTGAGAACATCTCGAATGCTGCTCCTGCTGCTCCTGAAGCTTGATTGGTGCGCAACTTTCACTTCTTGGGCCTTCCATTCTATGACGGTGCCCTTTAAACAATGTCCTGAACCAGCTACTACCCTGAACCCTAACCCTAAACCCTAAACCCTAAACCCTAAACCCTATTTGTTCAAAGGGTTTGAAGCACAACTCAGGCTGTGCATGTGCCCGGAACCCTTAAAACCCAATTAGGGGCAAAGCCCTGAGTCTTTTTTTCGATGTGCCGCTTTAGGCCAGATCCAAAGTCAGAAGCCTCCTCTGATCGGGCCCCGAACCTAAACCCTAAACCCTAAACCCTAAGGATGCACAAGGTTTGGGTTCATCTGTCTGAGAAATCACATCCTGGGGTCGGCCCTTGGGACTTGTCCAAACCCTAAACCCTAACCCTAAACCACAAACTTGTCCAAACCCTAAACCTAAAACCCTAAACCCTAACCCTAAACCCTAAACCCTAAAAACCCTAAACCCTAAACCCTAAACCTAAACCCTAAACCCTAAACCCTAAACCCTAACTACCTAAACCCTAAACCCTAAACCCTAAACCCTAAACCCTAAACCCTAAAAAACCCTAACCCTAAAAACCCTAACCCTAAACCCTAACCCTAAACCCTAAACTCCTAAACCCTAAACCCTAAACCCTAAACCCTAAACCCTAAACCCTAAACCCTAAACCCTAAACCCTAAACCCTAAACCCTAAACCCTAAACCCTAAACCCTAAACCCAAGCCCTGACTCAGGCGAGGACAGCAGCCACAGGGAGCGGCACGACAGCTCCAGCACGCGCTGGTGTGGGGACCTCATGGGAGCTTCGTGCCTGGGGCTCTTAGGGTTTAGGGTTTAGGGTTTAGGTTTAGGGTTTAGGGTTTAGGGTTTAGGGTTTAGGGTTTAGGGTTTAGGGTTTAGGGTTTAGGGTTCAAGCTGGGGTGGGGGTGGGGGAGACTCCCCAAAGCCCGAGCTCCAAGCCCCCAAGCCCTAATTAAGAGCCATTGACCCGTAGTAAGCCCAAGCGCAGCAAAGCCTTGATAAGCTCTGAGCTTACTGCCCCCTTACACCCCCATCCGTTACAGACTTCTCTGGGTAGCAGGAAGTACTTCCAAACCCTACACAAGCCCTGCGCCCGAAGCCCGAAGCCTTAGCTACCAAAGCCCTAGCCGCACACAGAACTTTAGAACCCCTTAACCCTCAACCCTAAAGCCCTGTACTCTCCGATTCGAAAAAAGACGGGTGCAGGGTTTTAGGGTTTTAGGGTTTTAGGGTTTTAGGGTTTTAGGGTTTTAGGGTTTTAGGGTTTTAGGGTTTTAGGGTTTTAGGGTTTTAGGGTTTTAGGGTTTTAGGGTTTTAGGGTTTTAGGGTTTTAGGGTTTTAGGGCAGCCGCACAAGACATCCGTCTTAGGCATCGCCTCAAAGACCCCCGAACCCTAAACCCTAAACCCTAAACCCAAACCCTAAACGGAAGTGAATCTGGAGCTGGAACATAGTAGAAGCCGTACCAAGGAACCCTCGACGAAAAATAGCCCCCCCCCCCCCCCCCCCCGCAAGAGGTGCGTTGACATAACCAGCTCAACCCTATAAACCCTAGGAACCCTATAAACCCATAAACCCTATAAACCGTACAAACCCTACAAGCTCACAGGCCTCGCATTCCATCACATCTGGTAGCCCTGCCCAAGGAACTCAACATCTAGGGCCCGGAGAATTGATGCCCTTGCGGTTCAGGGTTTAGGGTTTGTTGGGCTTGGGGTTTGGGGTTTAGGGTTTAGGGTTTAGGGTTTAGGGTTTAGTGGTTACCCAACCTCTGTTTCCAAGCCACGAGAACCCCTCGGTCGGGACCCCAGCGGTCTGATACACCCGTCCATGAATCCAGACCCAGGAAACCGTACTCTGATGAGTCTTTGTGCGGGGTCTTCGTGTTTTTTCGTCCACATCCTCTTCACACCTTGAAAATTTGAAACGACCGTTAGATCCCTGAGCAAGAAATCCGGAATTCAAGTTTTAGGCAGCAACCGCCATCCGAAATCCATCACACCTAGAGACCCTGCCTTTAATTGTCTTGGTCTAACTGCACCCCTGAAATCATGAATGCAGGAGGTTCATGGGCACTTCTAACCCCGGGTACAAGTCCACTTCTAGCCTGCTTTAAGAAACTTAGCGGACTTATGAGCACAGTTATAATTCGGGTTCTAAGTACCCATGAACCTCCAAGTAGGGCTCAAGTGGGTGCACCCTAAACCCTAAACCCTAAACCCTAAACCCTAAACCCTAAACCCTAAACCCTAAACCCCAAACCCCAAACCCCAAACCCAAAAACTCATGAAGTGAGTACGCGAGACACCATGAGGTCCCGCGCCAAAGCAAGCGCAGAGCTGTGCTGAGCTCATTGCCATGCAAGGCTGGCGCTCCGGGGACTTAAGCTCTTTTGAGGGTTTAGGGTTTAGGGTGTAAGGTTTAGGGTTTAGAGTTTAGGGCCTTTAGGGGCGTTTGGGGTTTAGGGCCTTTAGGGTTTATGGCCTTGAGGGTTAAGGGCCTTGACGGTTAGGGCCTTAAGGGTTTGCAAGGGCCTGTCGGGTTTAGGCCTTGAGGGTTAAGGGCCTTGACGGTTAGGGCCTTTAGGGTTTATAAGGGCCTGTAGGGTTTAGGGCTTTTAGGGTTTACGGTCTATGGCTAAAGTTTAGGGCCTTTGGGGCCTTTAGGAGCGTTTGGGGATTAGGGCTCAGGGGTTAAGTGTCGGCTCAAGGCATGCTTAAAGGGCTTAAAGGGCTTCAAGGGCTTAAAGGGCTTACAGGGCTTAAAGGGCTTCAAGGGTTTGGTTTTAGGGTTTAGGGAGGGCTTTAAGGGTCCGGGGGTGGGGTTTTCAAGGGACTGTGATGCAAATTCGTGGCGTGCAGGTCCCCCTGAACCGAGGGTGTCCAAGAGCGCATGGATGACTCGCCCCTAGAAGGTTTAGTCCTGGTTGCTGATGATTTTGAAGGTTAGTCCTGATTGTTGATAGTTCGGGAAGTCGGGCTCCTGTGGATCTTTCGGAATTCTACACTACAAAAAACGTGTGTACATAAACATATACATATATATATATATACATGTCAATGTGTATATCTGTATATATATATATATGTGTGTGTTTTTTATTTTTGTATTTATGTACATATATACATATATAGGAGGTGTAGAAGGCACGGAATTCTCTGCGCCCTACTAAGAGCTATCGGGTAGACCTACGCGCCAAACTCTCAAATCCGCATCATCTCTCGTCAGGTGAATGCACGGAAGCGGCTGGGCTGCGCTTTGGGACTGTTCTCAATTTTCCCCTTCTTTTCCTACATGCTTGCCCTGAAACCTAAAACCCAAAACCTAAAACCTAAACCTAAACCCTAAACCCTACCTACCGGCACCCTAAACCCTAACTAAACCCTAACCCCTAAACCCCTTTCTAGGGGTTTAAAGCACCACTGAGGAGATGATCAGCTGGATCTTCCCATCTTCCGGAGGACTGAAGGATGACTTGAAAGGAACCTCCAGCCTAAGTCCTGAACCCCAAACTCTTTCGGTTTGGGGTTTAGGGTAGGGTTTAGGGTTTAGGGTTTAGGGTTTAGGGTTTAGGGTTTAGGGTTTAGGGTTTAGGGTTTAATGTTTAGGGTTCAGGGTTCAGGGTTCAGGGTTTAGGGTTTAGGGCTTAGAAACTCGTAAAAAAGTTTAGGGCTTAGAGTTTAGGGATAGTAGTCCCTAAACCCTGAAGCCCAAAACTGTTTGCACTTAGCCGCTATGAGCCAAGAGCCTCGGGCTTTGGTTTCTGGGACGCTTGTAGGGCTCGTTGGTGCAGCGATTTGGCGCGCGGGTGTTAGGGCGGTTGGCGCAGAGCTGGTCGTTCAAAAGGCTAAAAGGAGTCAGGTCCTCCCTCTTGTGAACCCTAAACCCTAAACCCTGGACCCTGAACCCTAAACCCTAAACCCTAAACCCTAAACCCTAAACCCTAAACTCCCGAAGCCCGAAGAAACTCAACCCTTTTAAAGCGGACTTCCTTGGGGGCCCTGACTCCCAAGTTCCCTGCTGAGTACCTGGGGTGTAGGGTTTAGGGTTTAGGGTTTAGGGTTTAGGGTTTAGGGTTTAGGGCTTAGGGTTCTGCACCGCGAACCCTGGAAACCCTAAACCCTTAACGCGATGAACTCCAAAGCCTGAAGCCCGGAACCCGAAACCCCTTTCAACCTCAAAACCTGAACTCTAAACCGTGTATGCTCTCTGTATGTATATGTATATATCTATATAGACACCCTAAGCCCTAAACCCTCAAACCCTCAAACCCGAAACCGTAAACCCTAAAACTCTAAACCCTAAGCCCGGCGATAGATAGACAGCAGGGCCCGAGACATCGGATGGGAGGAGCAGGGTGTGAAGGGGCTGCTGGGGAACCCTGAGCCCCCTGGTCTGGGATTCGCAGGTCTTTCAACGGGTTTAGGGTTTATAGGGTTTATAGGGTTTATAGGGTTTATAGGGTTTATAGGGTTTATAGGGTTTATCGGGTTTATAGGGTTTATAGGGTTTATAGGGTTTATAGGGTTTATAGGGTTTATAGGGTTTATAGGGTTTATAGGGTTTATAGGGTTGAGGGTTTAGGTTGCATGATAAGCCCGGTACCCTGAAACCTCAATCCCCCTAAACCCTAAACCCTAAACCCTGAACCCTATACCCTATACCCTTAAACCCTCAATCCCATGACAATGTGCCCTCAAGCCCAAAACCGTGTACCCTTGAAAGCCTCACCCCCTAGACCTTCAAACCCTTAAACTTACCCGTAAACCTCAAACCCTAGACTCATTCCCTGTACCTGAGCTTGGGATTCTGTTAAGGCCCGCCCCCCGGCCTCCAAGAAAGACGAGAGCTAAACCCCAAACCCGAAGCCCTAAAGCCTAAACATTTAGAGTCTAGGGTTTCGGGCGTATTTTATAGACCACAATTAAATAAACAATTATTAAGAGACATTTATGATTTTAATGATATAGAAAGACTGAAACCCCTCAACCCTCAACCCTAAACCCGAAACCCTGAGCCCTAAACCCCAACGCTGAACCCTTGCCTTGGGGACCAAATGAACCCTGAAATTGGGGTCATATACCCAATACTACTAGAATCCCTATTAAGGTATATGAACCATAAACCCTCTAAACCCTAAACCCTAAACCCTAAACCCTAAACCCTAAACCCTAAACCCTTTCAGGGTTCATGTCGTCCCCAACCCTTAAAGCCTAGCTCACAGGATCCTCATCATCCACACCCCTGCGGCCGCTGGCGCTGCGCGTCGGCCCAGTGGGTTTTGAGGTTTAGGGTTTTTAGGTTTAGGGTTTAGGGTTTAGGGTTTAGGGTTTAGGGTTTAGGGTTTAGGGTTTAGGGTTAGGGCTTCTCGTCCCTGAAGCCCAGAAGCCCTATATTGGGTATTTCCAAAATAGGGGGTACCCTTAATATACCCTAAAATATATAAACCTTTGCTCTAGGAACCCAACAGGGGTAAAGTCCCTGAAGCCCTGAAAACCCTATATGGGGGGTTTCCGAAAATAAGGGACCCCCAAGTAGTAGCATTCCCGTCTAATGGGGACCCTCAGTACGGTACCCCGAATTTCGAAACCCCCATATGCGCTCGGCATTTCAGCGCTCCCCCTCGCCTTTTCCAGGTTTTATGCGTTCAGGGGTTCATGGTGAGGGTTTAGGGTTTAGGGTTTAGGGTTTAGGGTTTAGGGTGTAGGGTGTAGGGTGTAGGGTTCAGGGTTCAGGGTTCAGGGTTCAGGGGTTCATGTTGAGGGTTTAGGTTTTCGGGTTTGGCGTGGGGGAGCGGGAGGGGGGGAGGGGCGATGTGATGGGGGGGGGGGGGGGTTATCATGGGGCGGGCCTCCCTTATTAGGGGCCCCTGCCTTCCTTGCACCCTGGCCTGTGTGCCGGTTGTTCTGGGCCTTTCTGCCCTTCTGCCTGTGGCTTTTTTGTGAACCTGAACCAGGCTGGCGACCACCGTGACGGAATGAAGAAGTTGTATGGAAAGTAAGCAGCTGGCTTGAGTTTAGGCTTAAACCCCAAAAGGAATAGGTTTGGGTGGCGTGGGGTGGGAGAAATGTTAGATGGCCTTCCACAATCGGGCCAAAGCTGCTCTTCGCGCCTCACGAAGCTTTCGAGCTTGTTCCAAGACCTAACCTTCACAGCATCTACGCCCTCTCACAGCAAACCCGAGACCCTTGACCCCAAAACCCTAAACCCTAAACTAAACCCTAGACCCCAGGTGTTTGTGTGTGTAGGTTCCTTAGGGTCCCTGGGCCGAGGTGGAAGCGGCAGCGGGTCCTCGCCATCTCCCTCTGGAGGCTGCGGGGTCCAGATTCAAAGGGTTTAGGGTTTAGGGTTTAGGGTTATAGCGTTTAGGGTGTAGGGTTTTTAGGGTTTTTAGGGTTTTTAGGGTTTTTAGGGTTTAGGTCTTTTTTCAAATGTTTCTAAGGGGTTTGGAGTTCGGGTTTTCGGGTTTGGGGCTTAGGGTTGGGTTTAGGGTTTAGGGTTTACTTACTTATGCAACAGTTGAACTTAGAACTTTTTGCTTTTCGATAAAAATAGTTTAGCCTTTCTTCCCTCGGTTTGTTGGAGAAGTAAGTTTAGGGCTTTTCAACCGTTTCAAAAAGGTTTAGGGTTGGGGTTCAGAGTTTGGGTTTTGGGGTTTGGGTTTGGGAGAAATCTCCAAGCTTGAGGCTGGCACGGAAATTGAGGGTCTAGGGTGTAGGGTTTAGGGTTCAGGTTTCAGGGTTTAGGGTCGAGGGTTTAGGGTTGGTGCTAGATTCCAACCCCTAAAGCCTCAACCGCAAACACGACACCCCGACCCTTGTTCAAGGCCATCGCAACCCAGAAATACCCTCGGTCTACCAAGCAATCCCTAAACCCAAGCCCTCAAGCCCTAACCCTAAACCCCAAGCAACCCTAACCCGAAACCCTAATCCTTAAGCCCGAAACCCCGAGTTGAAGAGCCGTGGCAAGATGAGGCTCACCATAGCCTAAACCCCAAACCCCAACCCAAAACCCAAAACCCTAAACCCTAAACCCTAAACCCTAAACCCTAAACCCTCGAAGTGGCAACGTGGCCCTCGCCAAAGCCGCGATCGGCAGCCTCTCCGAGGGCGAAGGCTTCGACTCCCGAGTCTGGCCCTCGCCGGCATGTTTCGCTTACTGCTGGTTAGTAGGGAATGAGGGAATGAGGTACAGTACCCTATGTAATCCCTTAAAGGGTATAGAAAGGGGAGGTACCCTATGTAATCCCTTAAAGGGTATATATAGGGGGGGCATGTAGGGTACCTTATTCCCCCATTCCGTACTCACCAACAGTAAGGTTTCAGGGCTTTTGAGGTAGGGCCCCTGAGCCCTATCTAAAAACCCTAAACCCTAACGTACCCTCAGCGCCCTTTAAAGAAGGTAAGGGCCTCAGAGCCCTTTAAAGAAGGCAAGGGCCTCAGAGCCCTTTAAAGAAGGTAAGGGGGCTTCTGGATGAGGGCTTGGGCTTTCTGCGCTTTGGGTGTGGGCTTAAGACATATGGGCTTAGGGTGTGGCGCAGATAGGATGCAGAAGAGACTCGAAAGCCTGGGGACTTCAACAATCTCAACAAGCTCGGATGTGAGAACAAGCGAAATCTACGGGTTCATGCCGTACCAAGACTTCGCTGTCACGGACGTGGAGTATGCAGCCCGGACAGGGCACGCCCCACAGGAACTTCGCAAGAAGCCTTTCCAGGCTCCGTTTTGCACGCCAGACACCATGAACAATCACCACATCATTGATCTCAGCGAACTACCACTTCAGACCGCTGGCCTGCGCAAGGCACGCATCTTCTACCGCTTCGGGGCATCTCATGCGAGGTGCTTCTTGGCTCGAGCTTGCCTGGGGCCCTTGGGGTAAGGGGGCCCCCCAAAACTCCGAAAACGCACTGTAGGGAAACGATCGAGTTTAGGTCGGAGGCCAATTCATGGGGTGGGCCGCCCTACCCGACCCCCTGAATGACCCCCGCAGAACTACAGGCACCCCATGACACCCCCGCAGAACCCGACGAGCCCCGCATAGCCACGCAGAACCTATAGGGAAGACTACAATTGCCTTGTGGAAAAGTTCGCAGAACCGCCCGCTGCCTCGCAGAAGCGCGGCTGCCCCGCAAAGGATATTCAGAGGGCGCATAGACAGCCCACCCCATAAATTGGCGCCCCATTAGGGCTCAGGGTTTTAGGGTTAGGTCTTGGCTTCAGAATTTTTGGGCTCAGGGCTGAAAGGCGTAGTCGTGGAAGCATGAATCAGTGTTGGGTTTAGGAGTCTAGGAAGGGTCCGACGAGAAGATGTGCATGCATGTCCGGCAAGGTAGCGAGTAGTGTTGTGAAGAAATCGAAGGCTGTGTTGGTTTTCATGCCGGCATGCATACGTGGCCCTAAGCCGCCTCAGCCCCTAAAACCCTTACGCCCGAAACCCTTAAACCCTAGCCCCTAAACCCCTAAACCCCTAAACCCCTAAACCCCTAAACCCCTAAACCCCTAAACCCCAAAACCCCAAAACCCCAAAACCCCTAAACCCCTAAACCCCTAAACCCCTAAACCCCTAAACCCCTAAACCCCTAAACCCCTAAACCCCTAAACCCCTACACCCCTAAACCCCTAAACCCTAAACCCTAAACCCCAAACCCAGCCAGGCATGCCCTTCGGCTCATGACGGACACCTCTCAGCAGCGTGTGGCTGTTGAGGCACCCGGCACCTAAATATCGTAGATGCTATTGCAGTTTAGGGTTTAGAGTTTAGGGTTTAGGGTTTAGGGTGTTTGGTTTAGGGTCTAGGGTTTAGGGTGTTTGGTTTAGGGTTTAGGGTTTAGTGTGCTAAAGTTGCGAATAGAACTGGTTTTGTATGTGAACATTCATTCCATTTGAGTCAAGAATGAACGCCGCAACAAACAAAAGATTTCATCTCAATTCTCACGGTTTGTCTTGCGTCCCGTGTCGTTGTAATAGCTGCAAACGGAACAATTGCGGCAAAGGAGAAAACCCAAAAACGACAAATACTAAATCTGGTTCTGCTGGTAGGCATACATCATTCGATGATGTTTTGACAGGCTGACAAAACACCAGCAGTATGCGTTAAGATATGCGACACAGGTTGGGGGTCAAAACAAGCAACACCAGAATAGATAGAAGCAGTAAGCAAGAATGCCAAACAAAAGTGGAACAAGCCAAAACACATGTTCAGGAACTTGGTAAGGAGCTAGAAACAGGTCTAATTTGCGCAACGGATTAGCATTGATGGGGGTTTCCGAAAATAGTGGTACCCTTTTAGGGGTCCCCCTTTACATCAGGGGATTCTATTCTATTTGGGGTACGAAAGGAAACCCTAGTCCCTAAACCCTAAGCCCTAAACCCTAAACCCTAAGCCCTAAACCCCAAACCCAAACCCTAAACCGTAAACCGAAACATCTGCAACAGAATGACAGTGCACAGCATCCCGCCCGGACGTAGGCCAAGCGTCAAACGAGTGTGCCTAAACCCTAAACCCTAAACCCTACACCCTAAACCCTAAACCCTAAGCCCTAAACCCTAGCAAACTTAGTTGCTCAGTCTTGAATGAACGCAAGGCAGGGGTAACTACTGCAAGACATTCGGCAGCATTACAGAACATGGTGCTTCATTACTCATTAGTTTGGAAGTGTGCTTTCATCTGCAGTCTATTTAAACTATAAGTAGGGTGGCCTACTTGGGTTGAAAACGTGTTGTGCTATTCTTTAATTCCCGATGACAGCGGAAGCAGCTACAAAGGTGTTGAAGATATAGAACCATATAAACTTCTTAGCAAGAACGAAGGTTGCAGTGAATCGTGTAGGAGATGCTTCAGTAGTATGCGCAAACCCCTAAGCCCCAAACCCTAAGCCCTATTCCCAAACCCGACGACCCCAAACCCGGCGTGGAGGATGCTTTCCGGGAATTCATCGACGCTCGGGGGCTCGACAAGGTGGAGGCTGGGTTTAGGGTTTAGGGTTTAGGGTTTAGGGTTTAGGGTTTAGGGTTTAGAGTTGTAAGGTGTAGGGTTTAGGGTTAAGGGTTAAGGTTTAGTGTGCAGGGTTTAGAGACTCTCTGCGGAGGCAAGGTTTTAAGCTTAGAGCGCGTGCCAAGGATGTTCTAGGACCCCAGCGGTACGATGGTTGCAACCCTGAACCTCAAAACCCTGAAACCGCATGCCCCTAATTCCCGAACCACGCTCTGAAGCCTTTCCCCTCGACCCTGAACCCTGCAACGCTCAACTCAATGCCAAGCACCACATCCCGAAGCTCCAAGCCAATCCACAAGAACAGAGACCTCAAGGGTTTAGGGTTTCGGGTTTAGGGTCAGAATTCAACCCTAGCGCCTTCTCCTCGCAGCACGGGAGGTTCCAATGTGGGCCCTGATTCAGCTTGGCCGGCGCCCGGACAGGCAGCCGCACTGAGGTTGATGAGCGTTGTGCTTCAAGTCACCTTTACTTAGACAATGTATGAACTTCACACTTGTTGGGTTTCATCTTTTTGGAAAACTTGTTGGGTTTGCTTTTTGTGGTACCCTAAACCCCAAACCCCAAACCCTACACCCTAATAAAGTTGAACCTGCTTATTGCTTCGTTGTTAGAGAATTAAAAGTCCACCACACGTGTCGCTGCTAGCAACACCCTCCCAAACGCGGCCTTCCCAAATTCCCCAGCCCTAAACCCTAAACCCTATACCCTAAACGCGCCTTGAAGCCCACACTCATCATGCCCCCCTGCAAACCCCCGAAACCAAACGTCACACGAAGCTTGAAAACATGAGAAACCCCCATCCCGAAGGCCCCTAAACCCCTCAACCGTTAAAGCCACAAAACCTAAATTGCCCAAAACCCTGAACCCCAAACCCTGAAAAAGCCGAACTTGCTGAACCTCCTGCATCTTAAAACCCACAAACCCCAAACCCTAGAACTCCAGGAGCGGCGTCTGTAAACCCTCGGTTTAGGGTTTAGGGTTCCCTACGTCCTGACTGCGAGATGCGGGGACCCTAAACCCTAAACCCTAAACCCTAAACCCTAAACCCGAAACCCTAAACCCTAAACCCTAAGCCCTAAGCCCTAAACCCTAAACCCTAAACCCTAAACCCTAAACCCTAAACCCTAGCCCCTAACCCCTAACCCCTAAACCCCTAAACCCCTAAACCCCTAAACCCCTAAACCCCTAATCCTAAACCCTAAACCCTAAGCCCTAAACCCTAGACCCTAAACCCTAAACCCTAAACCCTAAACCCTAAACTCTGACTGGCTGGATGCGGGGGGTGGGGGGGTGGGGGTGGGGGGGGTCAGGCCGCCAGCTCCTGGTGCCGACTGGGCCCCAGTCAGATCAAAAGGTCTTGGGGTTTAGGGTTTGCACAGAGGGATACTCGAAGAGTATCAAGAAGGAAGACCATCATCACCCGGAACAGGGAGTACCAGACATTGAGCCAAGTCTTCCGTGGCCAGACCCTAAGCCCGAAACCCTAAACCCCAAACCCTAAATCCGAAACCCTAAACCCGGGTCCGCCAGCTGAGGCCACGGACATCGCAGCAAAGCTCCACGAGGAGGTTGGCAGCCCCCGCCCCCCCCCCCCCCCCAAAAAAAAAAAAAAAAAAAATCTAGGGTTGGTTTAATGAGATACTGGTAGGTTTAGGGTTTAGGGTTTAGGGTTTAGGGTTTAGGGTTTAGGGTTCAGGGTTCAGGGTTTAGGGTTTAGGGTTTAGGGTTTAGGGTTTAGGGTTTAGGGTTTAGGGTTTGGGAGGGTTTAGGGTTTAGGGTTCAGGGCAAAGCGTTGCTTTGATGAGATACTGTAGGGTTTAGGGTCTAGTGTTTGGGGAGTAGGGTTTGGGTTTAGGCAGGCAAGTACCGAGATAGGACCTTGGACAAGTCCTAAAGCCTAAACACCCTAAAAAACTGAACCCTGAACCCTAAACCCTAAACCCTGAACCCTAAACCCTCAACCCTAACCCTAGACCCTAAACCCTAGTACACCCAAAGTCACCCCTGCTCCGGTCGGAGGCCTGTTTGCACATGGAGGCGGTGCTTGCAGCGGAGGCACTCCTGGGTTTGCCCAAGCTAAACCCTAAACCCTAAACCCTAAACCCTAAACCCTGAACCCTGAACCCTGAACCCTGAACCCTACACCCCCAAACGGGTCCCATCGTCCCTTCTCTAAGGCTGATTACGAGCTTACTCGGGCTTGTTGAGGCATGTGGGCTCGCAACTTGGGCTCCAAACCCTAACCCTAACCCTAAACCCTAAGCCCTACACCCTAAACCCTAAACCCTAAACCTTAATGACAGAAGCTACAAAGACCATTGAGTCCCCAACCCTATGCCCTAACCATTCGGGCCCCTGTGAGATCCACGATGTCTTTGGACCACGGTCCCCGTGAAAGCGCTGAGCGTACGTTACCCCACAGGGGCAGCATTAGCTGCGCGGTTCGGATGGCAGGGGAACTATGCCCACAACTTCAACTGCTACAGTAAACTCCAGAAAGTTGGAACATGGTTTAAGGATGATTAGGGCTGGGATTCCCTTTGGTGTACTTTTTGGGGTACTGGGAGAAGGATGTTCCCAACTTTTTGGAGTTTACTGCATGCTGGATGGCGACGGCAGGCGTTCAACGATGCACAGATGGCACTGGAGCAATGATGTGAAGGTTGCCCTGGATATGAACCCTAAACCCTAAACCCTACACCCAGGCGGAGCTCACGCAGTATTGGCGAGATAGTGCTTTCCTGCTCAAGAGACTGAGGTGCCAACTCGATGATGGACCCTGAGCGAGTAGGGTTTAGGGTTTAGGGTTTAGGGTTTAGGGTTTAGGGTTTAGGGTTTAGGGTTTAGGGTTTAGGGTTTAGGGTCTAGGGTTTAGGGTTTAGGGTTTGGGGTTTAGGGTTTAGAGTTCATATCCAGGGCAACCTTCACATAGCATTCGTCGTGGCAGGTCCCGAACAAGCCGGCAGGGATCAACCGGAACCCACAAGCCCTAACCATCCGGGGTTTGGGGTTTAGGGTTTAGGGTTTAGGGTTTAGGGTTTAGTAACCTTGGTTTACCCCCCCCCCCTCCAAGAATAGCTCGACATGCCACAAGCCCACACCCCGTACCTTTAACAACAGGCCGTGAAAGGAGAAGTTAGGGCAGGGGTAATTTCACCGTACCCCCGAAAATTCTTCCGCAAGTATGCCTATGTCACATAGGCTACGTGGTATGCTAAATATTTCGCAGGACCCACAGACCTACAGGCCCCAAACCCTGAACCTTACATACCTAAACCCCAAACCCTAAACTCTAAGCCTTGCTTTGACCTACTTGGCATCTCGCGTTAGGATCCGAGTGCGGTACCCATAGATGCCCTGGCCGCAATCCACAAGCTACTTGGCAAAAGGGTTGGGGGTTCAGAGTTGTGGCTTTAGAGTTTTGGCCCGGGCTAAGGGTAAAGTGGGGGGGGGGGGGGGCATAAGTACCCAGTGTTTTGGGAAATTTGGGAAATCCTAGGGTGTAGGGCTTTAGGGTTAAGGTTTTGTCCATCAATACTCAAGACCTATCCTTCTGTTGTTCCTGTTGTCGACACAGCTTACGCCGCGGCAGCAAGGCACTATTGTTTGGGACAGCTACCCCACGTGGCTGACTTATCCTGCTTAGTCAGCCCCAGACTCTCCCTAAACCCTTTTTAGGGTCTAGGGTTTAGAGTTTACCCCAAACCACAAACCCCAAACCCCCAACCTCAACGCTGTCATCGCAACATATTCTTAGTTCCTGGACTTGGTAGGCCAGTGGTACCCTTTTCCCCTTTTGGGTTGAAGCTTCCCATCAAAAGTAACCCCAAGAAGGGTTTTGGGTTTAGGGTTTCGGGTTTAGGGTTTAGGGTTTAGGGTTTAGGGTTTAGGGCTTAGGGCTTAGGGTTTAGGATAGCAGCAAGGAAGGGTGTCGCAAAGTTCTCAGAAGGGCTTTCGCTTGACAAGGGTCTGGCGCCTGAGCCCCGAACTCACACCCCGAGAGTTTGGGAGTCCAACCGGGAGTTTAGGGTTTAGGGTTTAGGGCTTAGGGTTTAGGGTTTAGGGTTTAGGGTTTAGGGTTTAGGGTTTAGGGTTTAGGGTTTAGGGTATCCTAAACCCTGAACCCTGAACCTTGAACCCTGAACCCTGAACCGTGTCAACAAGTTTGGGGTTGCGGTCTATGAGCCATCACCCCCAAATAACAAGCCGAAAAGCAGACTGTAGTTACCCGGAGCCTCCCAGGTGCTTACACAAGCCTACGCGGGAGGCTTTTCAGGACACCTGACCGCACGCACTCCTCGGGCGACATGAAAAATAGGGCACCCCCCCCCCCCCCCCCCGGAAACCCTAAACCCTAAACCCCAAACCCCAACCCCAAACCCTAAACCCTAAACCCTAAACCCTAAACCAAAAAATAGAGCAACAATTGGGACGTCCTGGTAGGCTTCCGCCGACTCCAGGAGTTCCTTCTTCTTTCAAGAACCACCACCATACTCTGACAATTGCGACCCTGATGCGGGTCCAGCGTATTATGGCGGAGTAGCCCAACCCGACCCGCCTATGTCGGGAATATTCCTTAAGTTCTGGTCGGGATCCGAATACAGTGGGAAGGTTTTGAATTCAGGGCATGGGGTTCTCCGCGAGCCACACACCCTAAACCCTAAAACCTAAAACCTAAACCCTAAACCCTAAACCCTAAACCATACCTTCTTCAACGTAAGCTGCCTTGTGCCAGGGCGGCCCTGATGTATGGTTCCACATCCTCTTGGAGGTTCATAGGTACTTATAACCCCAACTATATCTGTTCTTATAAGCCACCCAAGTCCCCTCTAAGTAGGTTATCACTGTACTTATAATTGGGGTTTAGTCCGCATGGATTCCCCCCCCCCTTCTCTCCTGCGCAAGAGCGCTGCATGCGACTGTTTAAGTACCTCTTATAAAATGCATCGGATTGCGTAACCTTTATATGCACATAGATATGTATATATATATACAGAGATGCACACAGGTATAGTTAATGAACTAAACCAGAACCCCAAGGATATGAATCTTTCTGCGAGCCATGAGCCTTCCGGGCCTGCAATAGTTCTCCCAGGAAAGGGTAAAATTTAAACCCTAAGCCCTGAACCCTAGACCATCCCTCTGCCGACGTCCCTTGTCGCAGCTCTGGAGCTGCCAGGTCTCAGTGGTCGAGACACCCAAGTACTAAACAGCCTGATGCTCAACCCCGCCTAATTGCCCTGAACCCTAAACCCTACACCCGAAGCCCTAAGCCCTACAGGGTGGGGCCCCCTAGTTATAAGTAGAGTTATAAGGGCCCTAAATTGGGTTATAAGGACCCTAAGTTAGGTTATAAGTCCCTTAACTACAGTTAGTATAGTAAGGGGGCCCCACCCTGTAAGCCCTAGGCCCTAAGCCCGAAACCAACAAAAAAAGAGGCTCGGAGCCCCTCGCAGGAAATCCTGCAAAGCCGCCTGCGTGATCGAATCAAGCTGCCGGGTGCCCGGAGCTTCCGAACCCTAAACCCTAAACCCTTAACCCTAAGCCCTAAGCCCTAACCCCAAAACCCTAAGTTTAAGCTACTGTTTGCTTAAGAACCGCCCGAGAGAACTACTGTTTTGAAGATATGTCTGCTTATGAGGGTGATACAGGGGCTGTTATTCTGTACTATTCGGATGGTTCCAAAGCAAATAGCAGCTCATTTTCCGTTTAGGAAGGACGAGTTAGTCGATGAACTCGATCATTGGTCTCCATCGTTGTTTGGGGTACTTGTCCTTCTTCTCGCTTTGTATATATATATATATGCACATGTCCACATATTGACATTGTATCTCTTCAACCCTAAGCTTTGGCCCTAAACCCTAGAGGAGACTCTCATCCTGGCGCTAAAATCATCTCATCTGTTTGATGCGATGCTTTATCAGCTCGTCGCCCAGTGTGGTACCCTTTTGCTTGCATTGGTTCTAGGTTCCCTTATATAAAGCAACCAATGCCAAAACGGGTACCCTTTTTGAATTGCCCTAAACCCTAAACCCTAAACCCTAAATCCTAAACCCTAAACCTCATATGTTAATATGGTTACTGCGCTACCAAGAGATCATTCCTCACCTAGACAGAGCCGCGGCAAGGCAGAAGCGCAGTGGCCGAGCCTCGAACCCAGACTCCCGGGGTGTCAGTTGGGTTGACGGGAGTCAGGGTTTAGGGTTTAGGGTTTAGGGTTTCGGGTTTCGGGTTTAGGGTTTAGGGTTTAGGGTCTAAGTGTTCGGGTTTAAAGGTGTTGACGCTGGTGTGAAGCGACCTTCAAGACTGCTGCAAAGCCCTTAGAGCTAGGCTGGTTAGTTCTTAGTCCGGAAGTGAGGGAATGAGGGCCCTATGAAATCCCAAAAGGGGTATACAGGGCCCTCATTCCCTCATTCCCTACTAAGAACCAGGGGGGAAAGGTCTTTCTGGGTCGCAGGGCTGCTTCTTTATAGTTTGCGAAGCTGTGCAAGCAAACGGGTGGAGGCTTGATATGCTGCCGGAGAACCCTATAGCTCTGAATTGAGGAAGATTTCTTTTGTCATACTAGGGTTCCGAAGCAAGTTGTTGGGAAGGTTTTCTAATTAGTGGGCATTGGGTTCTCTGGGAGCTTTGTTTGGAAAAGGAGATTCGGGTCTTTTTTCGTGTTTCTGCGCAGTTTAGGGCCACAAAAGGTTGAGGCTTCACAGTGCTGACAGTTCGGCTACGAACCCAAAAATGAAACCCTCAAATATAAGAACCCATGCCCTAGGCCGGTGCTTGGAGGTTCAAAAAGTACCCATGAACTTCCAAGCAGACCCTACGACCTTTCTCTGGAAATCTCCAAACTTATCGCGCGCCTTTACACCCTATTCCACATTTTCCGTTTAGGGGTTAAATCTGAGAGGATCATATGTAGGTTCGTAAACCCTGAAAAGCCCTAAGCCCCAAGCCTTACACAAAGATAGTTCTCAAACTTAGCGTCGCTTATATAGTACGGCACCCTTACCAAAAAGACCTCAAAAGGAGCCGTAATTTAGAGAACTACCCATAAGCCCTGAAAGCCCCAGCCGTTTCTCCTCAACACCATGACCCACTTAGAAGCCCCTTAACGGGCCTGACATGGTTATGATTTGGGTTATACTTTCAGTTATACTTGGTTAATAAGTACCATGAACCTTCAAGTAAACCCCAAACCCCAAACCCCAAACCAAGTCACAACCCTTTGCCTGAGCCCTCAACCCTAAACCCTAAACCCTAGACCCTAAACCCTAAACCCTAAACCCTAGACCCTAAACCCCTTTTTTTGTTTTCTTGAGTTCGGCTCATGCATCCGTTCCCGCTCCTGTAGCTCCGATAAGCCTCAGGGGAGCCATATAGGCCTTGAACCCTAAACACACTAAGCCCTAAAGGGTTTATAGGGTTTAGGTTTAGGGTTCAGGGTTCAGGGTTTAGGGTTTCGGGCTTGGATGTTCCCCCTTCAACTAACAGTCCTTTAGGGATGCTAGGGGTACTATGATCCCGACGAAGGACTGATAGTACAAGGGGAAACATCCCAAGTTTAGTGTTTAGTGTGTAGGGTTTCCTAGACTCCCCAAACCCGAAAGGGTTTTCAGGGTTTAGGATTTAGGGTTTCCTAGACTCCCTAAACCCCAAAGGGTTTGTGGGGTCTAGGGTTTAGGGGTTAGGGCCTAAGTTTAAGGTTTCCTAAACTTCCTACTCTCCCGAACCCCCCCAATACTCCCTAAGCCCCCTCAACCCCCTAACCCCTATCGAACCCGTCAATTTTCAGCGGCCCCCGCAACCCTAAACCCTAAACCCTAAACCCTAAACCCTAAACTCTAAACCTCCCCCCCAAGAAAGGCAGCAACCCGCGTGCTTCTCTGGGAATTGCGCCGAGCCTTTTGCGAGAGGCTTGGGTGTGGGAGAGGGGCACCAAGCTCCAGAGTGGTGTTGGGGTTTAGGATTTAGGGTATAGGGTTTAGGGTTCAGGGTTCAGGGTTTAGTAGGGTTTAGGGTTTAGGGTTTAGGGGTAGCTTAGGGTTTAGGGTTTAGGGTTTAGGGGACGTTAGGGGCTTAGGGCTCAGGGATTGTGCAGATTTCCGTTCAGGCTTGAGGGCATGGGCATGAATGCCTGAAAACGCAATAACTTATACAGGGTGGGGCCCCCTAGTTATAAGTAGAGTTATAAGGGCCCTAAATTGGGTTATAAGGACCCTAAGTTAGGTTATAAGTCCCTTAACTACAGTTAGTATAGTAAGGGGGCCCCACCCTGTAAGCCCCAAACTTTAAGCCCGAGAAGCCCAAAGCCTATAAGCCCTAAACAGGACGCTCTCGGCAAATCAGCCCTAAACACTGAACCCTAAACCCCAAAGCCTAAACCCTAAACCCTAAACCCTAAGCCCCAAACCCTAAACCCTAAACCCAAAACCCTAAACCCTAAACCCTAACGCGCACAGCCCGCAAGGCGCACCCCAGACTTGGCCCTGGCGGTACCTGGCCCAGGAAGGTTTCCAAGGGCCTTTCGAGGGTTAGGGCTTAGGGTTTAGGGCTTAGGGTTTTGGGCTTTAGGGTTTGTGCTTGAGGGGCATCTTGAGGGTTTCTGTTTAGGAAAGGTTCTTTTTAACAGGGTCTTCAGTGTTTTTTAAAGTGCTATTTTTTTGGCTTGTTGAGTGGGAGGTCCGTCATTTAGGATGTGAAGGGTGCAGGATGTAGGATATTTTCAACATCGGGTTGGGATGTTCCCCCTTATACTAACAGTCCTTCATAGCTATTACAATAGGGGGTACTAGACTCCCTACTAAGGACTGTTCGTATAAGGGGAACATCCCAAGTTTGGGTGTAGAAGCTTCTGCTGCGGTGTCACCCTTGTGCGGGGCAGTTTGCGAGGAACCTCAAAACGATCGGGGGGGGGGGGGGGCAGGTTTTCCCTGTCTTGACCCACGCCTGTGATCTTTTTCAGAGGGCCTTGTGATGCGCCTCCACAAAGTTAGGGTCTAGGGTTGAAGGTTTAGGGTTGAAGGTTTAGGGTTTAGGGCTTAGGGCTTGTTTTAGGGTTAGGAATTAGGGTTTAGGGTTAGGAATTAGGGTTTAGGGTTGAGGGTTTAGACTTTGGGCTGCTGGGCGTGGGCTTGGGGTAAGGGGCGCACGATGCTGTCAAGGCCCATTTGCTGGAGAGTGGCGCCCGGACGCGGCCGCGGGAGGAGGCGGGGTTTAGGGTTTAGGGCTTAGGGCTTAGGGCTTAGGGTTTAGGGGGGGGATTAGGGTTTTAGGGTTTAGGGTTTAGGGTTTAGGGTTTAGGGTTTAGGGTTTAGGGTAAGTTTAGGGTCGAGACAGCTTCGGGTCTTTCTTGGTGTGTTTTTTCATGATGCAATATAGCTTGTTTCATATCCTGAGTTCGAGTCCTATAACCGCCAATTATTAAACCAGAATGATTATGACAATACAAATAGTAATAATACTCACGCTACAGCAAGACTGGCAGAAGCTAGGTACTGATATGCAAAGAACCCGGATTTAGGGTTTAGGGTAAATTCTGGGACTGCTCAACCCTACTAAGCCTTCAACCCTGATAGCCCCAAAACCCTAGAGTTTGGCATTTCAACCCTACCAAGCCTTCAACCCTTATAGAAACCCCCTAAACCCTAAACCCTAAACTTTAAATCCTAAACCCTAAACCCTAAACCCTAAACCATAAACCCTAAACCCTAAACCCTAGGTTTGGGATTTAGCTCCAGGGGTTCGCATGTACACGTGGGTTCGTCGCAGTCCTAACGTCGGCCCCCCATACCTCCAATAAAGCCCCCCGAGTGCCTTGAAGACTTAGAGTTTAGGGTTTAGGGTTTTAGGGTTTAGGGTTTAGGGTTTAGGGTTTAGGGTTTAGGGTTCAGAATTTTGGGTTTAGGGTTAGGAAAGGTTTCGGGCTTGAGATTTAGGGCTTGGGGCGTCTGGAAAGGCGAGTGCCGGTGCTGAGGCCGCGATAGCTCATAAACCTAAGCCGTAATAGTTAAGGGTTTAGGATTCCCAGGTATAGGCCATGATGTGACGATCAAGTTGTGCTTACGCATAGCACAGCTGCTAAAATCACAGGCTTCGGAGCCCAGGGTCGGGTTGGGAGTGAGACTTGGGCCTAGCATGTTTTGAGGGAGAACTTGAGTTTTGTTTTTTTTTGCGCGGGGGGGGGGGGGGGGGGGGGGCTGAGGGTCTAAGGTCCGTGCTCTATGGTTAGGAGCGAGCAAGCCACTGGAAGCACATGTTGGGCTCAGGCTGCACCTTGCCGAGAACTCAAGATCTTGGCCTAAACACGCTTGGTTGGGCTTCAACCGCTGAAAAGGTTCTGGCTTTTGCAACGTTTCAGGGGTCGAGGGTCTCAGGACAGGACTGAGGGGTAGGGCCGGGTAGGGTTTAGGGCTTAGATTCTGCCATGTGTTTACCTCAACCGCTCATGGCCATGGATATTTGGATACAATTCGATCCGACAGACGCAGAGTATACCTGAGTCCAAACCCTTATTAAGCCTAAGACCAAACCTAAACTCTAAACCCCCGAAACCGTACCCCGTCAGATCCTAAACGCCAACTGGGTCTGTCCGCTCGTGTGCAGGAAGACATGAACAGCGACGACGACGAGGACGTCCCGAGAGCTTGGCCCCCTAAACCCTAAACCCTAAACCCTAAACCTTAAACCCTAAGCCCTAAGCCCTAAGCCCTAAGCCCTAAGCCCTAGGCCCTAAGCCCTAGGCCCTAGGCCCTAGGCCCTACAGGCCCTAGGCCCTCAGCCTAAATACACCCTAAACCCTAAACCCTAAACGTTTTGGGTTGAAGGGGCCATCAGCCCTGTCCCTCCTGTTTCCAGAGTGTGACCTAGATTAGAGCTCTTGTTTGTGTTGGTTGTCGGTACGTTTCAGCTGCAACAGGGTTTAGGGTTTAGGGTTTAGGGTTTAGGGAACACACAAGAATCGAGACCCCCCCCCTCCGCCGAACAAAAGAAGCGTTGGACAAACAAACATCAACAGCCCAATCCCACAACTTAAACAAAGCAGCCTCAATGCCATCACCTCAAGCCTTTACCCATCTACCGACTGCAGAAATATTCGAACCCTATACCCATGAAATCTAAGCTCCAAACCCCTTAACCCAAACCCCAAAACCCACCTTTCTGCCCCCATCTGCAACCCCCTCTGACTCCTTTAGCTCCTTTTGGGCAGGTCTGGAAAGGGCAAAACCAAAGTCCGGGAATCTTTTACAACCCATACCATAGGAACCCTAAATCCTAAACCCTTGTACCGCAATGAACCCGATCTGCGCCTAGCACCCTGACCCTAAACCCTCGCACCCTTGAGCCCTAAACCCTCAACCCTAAACCCCAAACCTTAATTCCCAAGCCCTAAGCCTAAACTCTAACCTTTCAGATGTCAATCAGGACCCTGCTGGACACCCTGGCGGCTCTCGATATGCCACGGACACTGGGGTGCAGGGGTAGGGTTTGCGAACTGGCTCCTATTGTCCACAGGGGCTCACTACCATTTGCTTAAGAACCCCCCCCCCCCCCTCGGCCAAAAAGTTATGATTTAGAAAACCCGAATATTACCCTTAGAATGAAGAACATTTTCTCTTTCATGGGTGGCTCTTAAGCAAATAGCATTTTGGGGCTTTCGAGTAGTCCTCGGCGCTTTTGGTTGGGCTCAAGACCCTTGAAAACTGGGACTCGGAAGCAGAGTGGGAACAAGGGCCTACGTGTTTTAGGGTGTAGGTTCCCGTATATGCCCCTTTAAACCCAAAGGGCACCCCTGTTGTTCCTAGGTTATTCTTGGGTCTAGGGGAGGTGTTGGGGTTTAGGGTTGAGGCTTGTTGGGATAGGGGGTTTAGGGTTTAGGGTTAGCTATACTACTTGTGCAACCATACCAAGGGTACTTGTTGTGACCCTACGTATATCTAGCACAGAGCCCCCTAAACCCTAAACCCTAAACCCTAAACCCTAAACCCTAAACCCTAAACCCTAAACCCTAAACCCTAAACCCTAAACCCTAAACCCTAAACCCTAAACCCTAAACCCACACAAAGAGACAGGAGTACGACGACGCGCCGAGAAACAGCCTCGACCTCCTGGCTCTCAACAGGCCGATGAAGTGTTTAGGGTTTCGGGTTTAGGCTTTCGGGTTTTGGGTTTAGGGTTTAGGGTTTAGGGTTTGGGGTGTAGGGGTTTAGGGTTTAGGGCTAAACTCCAAGCCCTAGACCCTATGGTTGAGGGCTTATGGGGACCTTTCATGTTTCATTGGTTACCTGATGGTCATAATATCTCCCACTAGAACTAGAAAACTATGTGTGTACCCAAATAAGAGGAACTTCGACTCTGGGAGATTCCTAAACCCTAAACCCATAGAAAAGTTGGGCTTTCATCGGGGGGGGGGGGGGGGGGGGGAGGTTCAGTGGAGTTTGCTGGGCCTCCTGCGCATGTCCTGGCATCTGGCATCGAGGGGCCCTCATAAGGGACCTTGGCGGTTATTTCGGAGTTATTTAGGGGCTACTTGGTATATAGGGATTGTAGAAGGCATATATATATATATACAGATATCTATATATATATATATGTATATATATAGAGGGGGTTTTCTAGGGGAATAAGATTAGGGGTCCCTTCGAGGGGTCCCTCCTTGTACCCCTAGTGGCAGGTTTGCAGAGCCACAGAAGCTGGAGCTCGCCATCAAGAAGGCTTCTTGGGGTTAAGGGTTTGGATTTTGGGGTTTCAGGGTTCAGGGTTCAGGGTTTAGGGTTTAGGGTTTAGGGTTTAGGGCCAGGGTTTAGGCACTTTTGTTGGAATTTAGGGTTTAGGTTTTTAGGGCTATGTTGTGGGCACTCGCTTTCTTCTTTAACACAAGAGGGCGCCGTTTGAGACTGCCCCGACGTCCTCCAGGCTCTTGCCGCCAAAATCCCTAATCCCTAAAACCCGAAACCCCTACTCCTTAATTAAGGAATACACCCGAATTCACAATAATGATCCGAAGTATAAATTGGGGTATATTCCTCAATTAAGGGGTTTTGGAAGATCTGGGTTCTGGCATTAGCCTAAGGGTCCATTGTTATATACTTGGGCCCCAAAGTCCTTTTATCGGAAGAACCTTAAGGACCAAGTATTCCCTAGTTAGTTGCATGGACCCTTACAGGGTGGGGCCCCCTTACTATACTAACTGTAGTTAAGGGACTTATAACCTAACTTAGGGTCCTTATAACCCAATTTAGGGCCCTTATAACTCTACTTATAACTAGGGGGCCCCACCCTGTAGGGTGACCCCGAAACCCCCGAAACCGCAAGCCCTGAGGTGGTCTTCATGCAAACGCTCAGCAGTTTTTCGGGGGTAAGGGCGAACCCATGTGGGGCTAAGGCTGCAGAGCCTGCAAGCGCCGAAGCAGCCCTAAACCCTAAGCCCTAAACCCTAAACCCCCTAAACCCTCAACCGTAAACCCTAAACCCTAAACCCTAAACCCTAAACCCTAAACCCTAAACCCTAAACCCTAAACCCTAAACCCTAAACCCTCCAAACAATCAACCCCAAACAAGACCAGGCTGTGGAGTTCAAGGCAGACCCGAAGCAGAACTCGTCCTACGAGCCGCCCGCCTGCACAGAGACCTATAGACTCTGCGGAGAATATTAGGGTTGGGGGTTGGGGGTTAGGGTTTAGGGTTCAGGGTTGGGACTTAGTGTTAGGGTTTCGCGTTTTCATGGTGCTTTACATGCTCATCCTTTAGCATCACCCCCCCCCCCCCCCCCCCGCTTCCCCACCCCCTAGCCACCAACCTCAAAACACCCCCACAAAGGCTCATTTAGCTTGGTTTTAGGGTTTAGGGTTTGGGGTTTAGGGTTTAGGGTTTAGGGTTTAGGGTTACGTGTTTAGGTTTTCGTGTTTCGGGTTTAGGGCTTAGTTTTAAGGAGTAGCTGGTCGAGATTTGTTTCTGCTGGTGGTGTCCTGGAAGATCGGGTCCCACGAGAGGACCCCTGAGCCCCTTGAGCACACGAACTCTTGCCCCCTGTTTTAGGATCTAAATTCCCTTTGAAAAAACCCTAAACCCTAAACCCTAAACCCCTATAAACCCGAAAGGGCACCCTTTTTTATTCCTAGGTTACTCTTTTGTCTGGTTGCGTTTGCTGACGGGAATCGGACGGGGGAAAGTGGGGTACCCTTGTTTTGGGGTCCCTTCAAGGGGGGCTTCTGCCACTCCTTGGGTTATAAAGGGGGTATACCTTGTGGACGAAATGAACCCTAAAAGGGTTTGGGGTTCATGTGATCTGAATAGTAGTTATAGTAGTATAGGGTAGATGATCCCAATTTTAGGGTTCATTTTTGTCCCCAAGGGAGGGGTACCTCCAGTTCAGGAATACCGCCCCGCATGTTTGATGACTTGCATGTCCTTTCTTCTGCTGTGGCCTTGTGACTCTAGCTCTTTCCCCTAAACCCTAAACCCTGCCTCACAACACCCTGCATGAGATGCTAGGACCCGGAGTAGGCCCTTCTTTCCTTTGTTTTTGGTTTGGTCCTGCCGAGGTTCCCTTAGAAGCCTCTTTCACCCAAGAAAAGGTTTAGGGTTTAGGGTTTGTAATCGGGTTTAGAGCTTTAGGTCTTGAGGGGGGTTTAGGGTTTAGGGTTTAGGGTTTAGGGTTTAGGGATTAGGGAGTAGGGATTAGGGTTTAGGATTGCCAGGCCACTCTTGGCTCAAGGAGGGTTTCTTGGGAATGCACGCTACATACAATGTCTCCTCCAGACAGAGTTTCCCCGGCTTGTGTAGACCCTGCTCTAAACCCTAAACCCTAGGCCCTAGGCCCTAAACCCTAAACCCTAAACCCTAAACCCTAAACCCTAAACCCTAAACCCTAAACCCTAAACCCTAAACCCTAAACCCTAAACCCTAAACCCTAAACCCTAAACCCCAACTCCCCGGAGTCCCAGCGACCAAGGCGGCCATTGACGCTGGCTGTCCGCTGCCGCAATGCCGGGACCCAAAGAAGCTGAGCAGAGAGTTTAGGGTTTAGGGTTTCGGGTTGAGGGTTGAGGGTTGAGGGTTTAGGCTCTAGGGTTTAGGGTTTTGAGTTTCGAGGCCGAAGCCACAAGTTGCATTTTCGAAGATCGTCCCAGTATACTTCAACTAGGCTTGTAGTATTTCGCATGATCTCACAACTACCTAGGATGCACGGTAGCAAGAGATACCCAAAATACAAGTAACCCTAAACCCTAAACCCTAGACCCTAAGCCCTAAACCCTAAACCCTAAACCCTAAGCACAAGTGATTATTGAGCAGGCCCGGCCAGTATGATACTCAGGAATCAGGGGCTCTGGGCTCTCAGAGTTCAGGGTTTGAGTGTGAGGGCGTTAGTAGGATTTTTCAGGGGCGTTCGGGGTTTGGTTTAGGGTTTAGGGTTTTAGGGTTTAGGGTTTTAGGGTTTAGGGTTTAGGGTTTAGGGTTTAGGGTTTAGGTTTAGGGCTGCTAGGTTTAGCAGTGGGCTTTCAGGGGTTCGGTGGGTTAATTCGTGCTTTTCGACATATTTTGATTTAGGGTAAGAAAGAGAGTTGTGCTTTGGTGCGTTTGTGACAAGAAACCAACGTCCCCCGCCTATCATCCATGCGGCAGCCCAGCTGCGCAGGCGACTGAAACTCCACCAGCGCAATGTTTGAGAGGCCCTAACGTTTAGGGTTTAGGGTTTAGGGTTTAGGGTGGACTGGCGACGACCCCCAACTCTAGCTCTCCATGTTGCCATAGGAAGCCCAAAACCCAAAGAGCTCCTGAGTTCAAACCCTAAACCGCGAAGAGCTCGTTACAACGACAACCCTCGGTGTGCGATTCGACCAGCACCACCCGCGGTTGGCTACATCGGGCTGCTTGAGATAAGCAGTCAGCAGCAGGAAGAGGATGCACCCCAGTCCAGCGGCACGGCTTCGCGAGAGTCGGCCACGGTGGATTGTGAAGCCGAGGGCGGAAGTGAGTGAGTGAGTCAAGAGCTCCTAAGTTCAGGGCCCTAAGCCCCCCCCTACGTTCACTAAGAGCTCTTAAGTTCAGGTCCCCAAGCCACTCAAAGCACCTAAGTTCAATGCCCTAAACCACTAAGAGAATTTTAAGTTCAGAGCCCTAAACCACGAACAACACTGAACCACTAAGACCTCTTAAGTTCAAATCACTAACCCGCTACCAATAGGAGCTCCTCAGGTCAAAGCCCTAAGCCACTAAGGGCTCTGAAGTTCTGAGGATCAAGCCTGCTAGGGTCTAAGATTCGACAATTTGGGGTTTCGCGTGTCAGGAACTAATATGGTTGCGCCCTCGGGCGACAACTGCATTGAACTTAGGAGCTCTTGGCAGTTTTAGGTTTGAACATAGGAGCTCTTAGGGGGTTTAGGGTCTTGAACTGAAGAGTTCTTAAGGGTTACAGGGTGGGGCCCCCTAGTTATAAGTAGAGTTATAAGGGCCCTAAATTGGGTTATAAGGACCCTAAGTTAGGTTATAAGTCCCTGAACTACAGTTAGTATAGTAAGGGGGCCCACCCTGTAGGGTTTGAGGTTTGGAGGTTGGGATGCTTTTTCCCGTATACTAACAGTCCTTAGCCCTAGGATAGTCCCTATTACATCCCAAGTTGGAGGTTTAGAGCTTGGGGAAACCCTAAACCCTAAACCCTAAACCCTTGAAGTACCGCTGCCGCCCAGGTGGCCGCTGTGCACGCGCTCCTGAATGCGGGGGCGCCGGTAGATCGGCAGGCGCAGGGTTTAGGGTTTAGGGTTTGGGGTTTAGTGTTTCGGGTTTAGGGTTTACGGTTTAGGGTTGAGGGTTTAGGGTTTAGGGTTTAGGGTTTAGGGTTTAGAATTATTGTTTAGGGAGTAAAAAGGGGAGATCCCGAAGCACAAGCGTCTCTAAAGCCCACTTGGAGGTTCGTGGATACTTCTAACCCCAATTATGAGTCTACTTATGACCTACTTAGGGGTGTTAGGGGGCTTATACGTGCAGTTATGAATAGGGTTATAGGTGCCCTGAACCTCCAAGTAAACCCCTGAACCCTAAACCCTTTGGTTAGGATCTCCAAACCCTCAACCCTAAACCCATGCAAACTGCGGCTGCGGTTGGTGAGCAAGCACATGAGAGTTAAGGAGTTTAGGTGTTTCCGGGGCTTAGGGATTTAGGAATTTCGTTAGGAATTGAGGGATTTAGGGGTCTTGGTTTTAGGGTCAAGGGGTTCAAGGGCTTTGGGGGGGATTTAGAGGCACCGCCACGTGAGTGGAGATTGCTAGCTAACCCTATAGCCCCCTTAGAAATTTCTTTTGTTTTGTATAAAAATAGCAAGGGATCATCAAAAATAGTAATGCTTATTGAGGTTCTAAGGAGAATATAGAACCCTCCCTTGCAGAAGCCTTTAGTGTTCGGGACGAGAGTGCGGTTGCCGTGGGAGCGGAGAGGGTGCTTTTAAGGGTTTTGCCCCTAAAGCGGGGACCCTAAACTAAACCCGAAACCCTAAACCCTAAACCCTAAACCCTAAACCCTAAACCCTAAACTCTCATGAATATGTTGATTTCCCCTCTTTCTTGGTACTACCAAGCCTTCGGTTTCGGGCTTTCGGGAGGACTTGGGCTTCAAGGTGTTGACGGAGCCCTGCGCCCTAACCCCCAAACCCTGAATCCCTAAACCCTAAACCCTAAACCCTAGCCCTAAACCCCTAAACCCCTAAACCCCTAAACCCCTAAACCCCTAAACCCCTAAACCCCTAAACCCTGAATCCTCTAAGTCTCTCCTGTCAAAGGGAACCGATGTAGACTCGGAGGCGCTGGCAGCGTTGCAGACGGTCTCGGACCGGCGGTGCCGCCAAGATATGGAGGACTTGTCGGTTTCGGGATTTGCCCTATACTAACAGTCCTTGACAGGCTTAAAATAGGGGCTAGTATAATTAATTCCGATTCAGGACTGTTAGTATAATTCCGATTAAGGACTGTTAGTATAAGGGGCGGAGTATCATAATGTACGGGGTTTAGGCCTTACTCCCTACATCCCGAAGTGAGTTCTTTGCTCTCCCTGGCAAGTATTTTGTCACCCCATTCACGCCTGACACTGTGATGCCCTAGCGAGACCCCCCCCCCCACCTCTCAACCTTACACCCTAAACCCTAAACCCTAAACCCTAAACCTCAGACCTTCTGACCGCACGCGGACTTAGGTTTAGAAGGGAAGCTCAAACCCCCTGGTTTTTAGTAAGGAATGCGGGAACTAGGGCCCTATATATACCCTTGAAGGTGCTTTACAGGGCCCTACTTCCCCCCCCCCCCCATTCGGACTCAAAGGCGGAGTCATCAGGATACCCTCATGTCGAAGCAAAGGCAGAACCCAAGCCGAAATCCACCAAGAAGACGTCCGTGGAAGTGGTCAATTGGGGTTTAGGGTTTAGGGTTTAGGGTTTAGGGTTTAGGGTTTAGGGTTTAGGGTTTAGGGTTTAGGGTTTAGGGTTTAGGGGACCCTGACTTTGTGCCTTCCAAGAAAGAGCTTCACGAAAAGATAGCCTATGACCTGAACTTCAACAGAGAGCAGGGTTACGTCAAGGGGGTGACCACCGACTTCTTGCAGATGGTGAAGGGCACCAGGGCGCCACGCTTGACGAGAAGAAAGAGATGGGTTGCGGTGCTTTACTGTAACTTTAGACTCATTGGGCTTCTAAATACAGGCAGCTAAACATATAGGTTATAACTACCCTCCTAAGTGCAGCCAAGGATGCAGAGGAACCCCAAGAGCGACATCACGAAGCTCATGTATCGCTAGCAAAAGCAACACAAACGATAAACCAGGCCCTGCAGCGGCCTACTCTCTTAGGTCGAGGGCTTAGGGTTTAGGGTTTAGGGTGTTGGAGCAGACAGGACCGTTTCCTGTCGGCGGTGACCAGCGGCGGTTCGAACCTCTGCCTGAAGGCCACGTCGTGGGTTTAGGGTTTAGGGTTTAGGGTTTAGGGTTTAGGGTTTAGGGTTTAGGGTTTAGGGTTTAGGGTTCATGGTTTAGGGTTTAGGGCTGCGGGGTTCAAATACTGCCTGAAGGCCAAGTCGTGCGTTTAGGGTTTAAGGGTTTAGGGCTCTGGGGTTCAGGTAGCCTCTTCGGATTGTAATGTTCTTTGGGGCTTCAGGGGCCTTTGTTATTTTGTTTGTTTATTGTGTGTTTCTTTCAGGAGGGGGGTAGGGTTTCAGGGATTTTGGGGCTTCTAGGGGTTTATGGCTTCATGGGTCTTCGGGTCTTAGGTTTTCAGAGGTCTACTAGGTAGATCGTTATTCTATGTTTCCCTTTGAGGGTTTAAGAGGACCATATTTTTGAATAGTTTTGGAGGGTTGTCAGGGCCACCCGAGATAGGGTGCAGGGTTGCGGGTTGAGGAGGGGTTTCGTAGAACCGGATAGGAGCAAATACATGCTTGATATGTACTCATGCATAGTTGCATGCATGTACCATGTATGTATGTATGTATTTATGCGTATTTCCCTCTCTCTCTATGTATATATGTATGTGTGCACAGGCGAGTGTGTAGATGTATGAGAGCCCAAAGCCTTAAATTGCATAAACCCTCAAGGTTGAACTCTGTCCTAGGAAGGGGTTTTGGGTTCAAAAGATCGACCCTAAACCCTAAACCCTAAACCCTAAACCCTTCTTAAGCCCTAAGCTTCATCAATCATGTGCCCCCCCCCCCCCCCCGCCCCTACTGCGCACTGTTTGGAGGTTCGTGGGAAGTTATGATAAGGGTAAGAGCTATAGATAGGATAGTAGCTATCATATAGACTCTATCTATATGGCTTAGGGTTTATGTTACCGTTACTGCTGAGTGTATTCACGGTTCCTGATGAATATTGGTGAGTGTACATACTTTGTTGCTTTTTGGGGGGTACTAGTAATATAAGATAAACCCTACTTCATCTACTTGCAAGCCTACGTAGCACTACCCATGAACTGCCCCATACCTTCCTTCCAGATCGCCACATCTCCAGCTCCTGGTTCAGGGGGTGTAGGGTTTAGGGTTTAGGGTTTAGGGTTTAGGGTTTAGGGTTTCACACCCCAAGGCCACGGACGAGCTGCCACATCCCAACCCGACATGAACTAACATGGCATCAGGAGACCCAAAACCCTAAACCCTAAACCCTAAACCCTGGAAACCCCTGAGTCGCTAGGTAGGTCCTTGGGAATCAATTTTGGGATGTTCCCCCTTATGCGAATAGTCCTTGGTAGGGATGAGAAGAGGGATACTATCGTCCCTATTCCGGGGCTGTTCGTCTAAAGGGGAACATCCCAAGATCTGTTCTGTATTCCCTTTTTAAATGTTGGCATCTGTGTTTTTGGCAAAGGGTTTAGGGTTTAGGGTTTGGGGTTTGGGCTTTAGGGTGAACCGTAAGTGCCTCAAGCCTTAAACTGCCAACAAGTAGCAGGATGTTGCCTTTTGGGTCTTGGTCCAGAGTGGCAACATCAAGGTGGGAAGCCCCAAAACAAACCCGAATCCTTCGGATGCTCCCCGTTCTATTAACAGTCCTTAATAAGGGTTATTAAAAGGGGGGGGGGGTACTATAATCCCCATTGAGGACTGCTAGTATAAGGGGGAACATCCCAACCCTGCACCCTGAACCGCTGAACTGCAGATTGTTGAGGGGGGTTTTGCGGTTTTGGGGCCGTGGCGGACCGAGATCGTTTGCATGTAGTAGGCTTTTCCCTCATTGCACTTGTAGGGTTTAGGGTTAAGGGTTTAGGGTTTGGGGCTTGGGGTTTGGGGTTTGGGGTTTGGGGTTTGGGGTTTGGGTTGTTTTTTGGAGTATTGTTCGGAGGGTCCAACCTAGTATTTGCATCGACAAAATCCAAGCCCTATTGCCATTTCTTGAAGTCTCCGCCACCCTTGAGTACCAGGACGCCGGGTACCCTAGTTGTCCCCCATCATTCACCATTGGACTTGCGCATAAACGCCTAGTCAGTCATACCTGATTTGAGTCATAGTCCATTGCCCTACTGTTCTCATGGCTGTCTGAGCATACATGACCTAGCGTGAGTTCAGAACACATTCTCCGGCCCGAACCACTGCAATGATTTGAAGGCTGAAGAGCTGGAAAGGGTCCTGGTACCCGATAAACGGTACAGGGTTTCGGATTTAGGATACCCTCGGTTTAAGATTCAGAGTTTGGAGGTTCAGGTTAGGGTGTAGGTTTAGGGTTTAGGGTTTAGGGTTTAGGGTTTAGGGTTTCGGGTTTCGGGTTTCGGGTCTAGGGTGTGAAAGGGGGTTCGCTGTTGGTGGGCGCTCTCGCAGGCCTTGTGTCCTGGCTTTTTGTCTCCATGCATGGGGCCAAAGTTTCTGCAACAGCCTCGCAAAGGCCTAAGCATGGGGTTTTAGGGTTCAGGGTTTAGGGTTTAGGGTTTAGGGTTTAGGGGGTTCTGTATCCCTAAACCCTAAAACCTAAAACCTAAAACTCTAACATCCTGTGCCAGCACTCGGCCTCTTACAGTGCTTTGCGGAGCCAAGCCGTCTGACCGGCAACAGACCCCCAACCCCCAACACCCAACTTCAAGCTCCAGCAAGCCCCCCTCAACCCTAAACTCTAGAAGCCCTAAACCCTAAACCCTAAACCCTACACCCTAAACCCTAAACCCTAAAACCTAAACCCTAAACCCTAAACCCTACAGCAGTGCCATGTATGTCCTGAAGCTGAAGGCCGTCCGGAAGCGGCTCAAGTCAGAGTCCTCGGACAACGCGGTGGATGCTGGGTACTCAGGGCGTCGTTGTCCTTAAGGGTTTAGGGTTTGGGGCTCAGGGTTTAGGGTCTAGAGCCTTAAAGTACTTGCTATATTATAGGGACTTTGGTACCCAAGTATATAATAAATTACGTACATGGACCCTTAGGGTGTTGCTTGGAGGTTCACGGGTGCTCAATGATCGGGTTTGGGGTTTAGGGTTTAGGGTTATAGGGTTTAGGATTTAAGGTTTAGGGTTTAGGGTTTAGGGTTTAGGGTTTAGGGTTTAGGGGGTACTTACAACCCCAAGTATGAGTCTATTTGCATCCTACTTGGGGGACTTAGGGGGCTTATATGTACAGTTTATCATAGTTGTAATTGGGGTTGCAAGTGCCCTGAACCTCCAAGTAGGGTTTCGGGTTTAGGGTTTAGAGTTGAGGCTTTCGACCTGGAGGCTTGGGTTGTGGGGCTCAATGTCAAAAACCTGAAGGGGATGGACCCTTACAAAAGGGATCTTAGGGGGTTATTTGCGGCTATTTAGGGGCTACTTGTATAGGGACTATATAAGGTACATACAGGGGTTATATCCCCTTAAAGGGCGTTATAGGTCGGCCTATTACAGTAGGGTAAATGAAGTGATGACATTTTATCAGCCTAGCTTTACGTTCCTATAGCCTCTGGCCTCAAGTAGAGCCTTAGGGGGTTCTTTTGGGCGGGTTGGCAAGCCCCAAACCCTGAGAGTTTAGGGTTTATGGTTGAGGGGTTAGGGTTCAGGTGTTTTCTTTGGCGGTTGGCGGAGATTTCGGTCTGGGCCGTGGTTTCAAGGGCTTAGGCCATACTACCACCCACCCTGTTTATCAGACAAGTTTTTAGAGGACCCCTCACCCCCCGCCCCCCCCCCCCCCCCCCCCCCCCCCCGCTCCCTCCAAGTCAACTGGCTCAACGAAACTGCCAGGCCATTCTGAAAAACAAAAGGTCTAAACAAGGCTTTTGAAAGCCATTAGCCTTGAGCTGTTTTTGGGCAAATCCCTTCTTAATGGTATTGGCTTAAGAACACCCAAAAACAGAAAATATTATTCCTTAGTAAGGGAAACATATATATATATATATAGAGAGAGAGAGAGAGAGTGGGATTATTGTTTTCTTATTCTTTTGGGGTGCTTAAGCAAATAGTAGGTAGCTGGCAACTGTTCGCACCCGTGCTTCTAGCAGCGGCTACTGTGCATGCGCATGAACTCGCGACGCAGGTTGTGTACTTTCAGGGACCCCAAAAAGACATAAGCATAAGCATCTTATGGGGATATCCCTGCCTTATTGGGCTTCATTATAATGGGCTCTTATCTGGGATGTCCCTATCCTAAATTTTGCTTATGTGCTTTTTTTCGGGCCCTAGTTACTTGCTTTCTCAAAGCAAGTTTTCCCTCTTGCCAGAATTATTCAGAATAAACCCTACACCCTAAACCCTAAACCCTAAACCCTAAACCCCAAACCCAAAAAGCCTAAACCCGAAGCCCTATAATCCCTAAACAACTATGATGAAGTCTTCGGTCTGTTAGGGTTTAGGGTTTAGGGTTTAGGGTTTAGGGTTTAGGGTTTAGGGTTTAGGGCTTAGGGCTTCAGGAATCGGGGTTTAGGGTTTTGGGATTGAGGAATCAGGGTCCAGGGCTCAGGATTTTTGGGGTTTAGGGCTTCGGGAGGACTTAGGGCTTTATGGGCTTCAGGACAACGGGGTCATGTTGGGTTTGGTGGCTTATTTGGTTCGCGTGACGCTGAGGACTTCGGGATTTGGTGGAGACTGCTCAGAGTCTCGGGAGTGAGTAACCAGGGTTTAGGGTTAAGGGTTTAAGGTGTAGGCTGTCCCAAAACGTATGTTGGGGTTCAGGGTTTAGGTTTCAGGTTTTTAGGGTTTAGGGTTGAGCGTTTAGGGTTAGGGTTTATAGGGTTGAGGGCAACTGTCCTAAACCCGAAACTGGAGATGGCCAACTCAAGACATTTTTTTCTCAATCGCCACATGGGTAGGCCCCAAACCCCGAACTCAAAATCCTCCGACAGGTCCCTACCCCAAACACGAATACCCTAAACCCCAAACCCCTAAACCCCTAAACCCTAACCCCTAAACCCCTAAACCCTAAAAACCAACCCCTAAAGCCCAAAGCCTAAACCCTAAACCCTAAACCCTAAACCCCAAAACTCCACATGTGGGAACCCGAGGCGCATGTCATGATGGGCCTGCGCCGATGCCGCAAGAAATCTTGCACGCAGGACAGGCGCAGCCTACGTACGTTTAGGGTTTAGGGTTTAGGGTGTAGGGTGTAGGGTTTGGGGTTTAGGAGGGTTTAGGGCTTAGGGCTTAGGGCTTTGAGTTTAGGGTCTAGGGCGAGTAGGGTTTGGGATTCACTTCCTAGGCCTTGGGCCTCCTCCCCATGCCGGAGTAGGAGACAGACATGCGCCGTGTGCAAAGCCCTAGTAGCCTTGGATGTGACAAGCTTCCTGGGTGGTCTAAGGGTTTCGGGTTTAGGGTTTAGGGATTTAGGGTTTAGGGTTCAGGGTTCAGGGTTCAGGGTTCAGGGTTTAGGGTTTAGGGTGTAGGAGGGTCAACTCAAGGAGTTAAAGGAGGAACCCTTATAAGTGACCTTAGGGGTTCTTTGGGGCTTATGTAAGGTATATAGACCTTAGGGGTTCTTTGGGGCTTATGTAAGGTATATAGGGACTATAAAAGGTATTTAGAAAAGGGTCCCTTCCTGAATTTATACGGCTTGGAGCTTTTTGAGCTCATGGCTTGTCTGCGACCCTAAGCCCTACGAATCAGCAGCGGCCGCAACACCTGATCTGTTTCGGGTTTAGGGTTTAGGGTTTAGGGTTTAGGGTTTAGGGTTTAGGGTTTAGGGTTTAGGGTTTAGGGTTTAGGGTTTATAGGGCACGGGGAAGGCGTCGAGTGTGCGCTCCGGTTTGTTTCGAGTGTGCACTCCAAATGCATCGAGTCCGCGCTCCTGGGTGTGTCCACGTCGGTATTTACAGTGGTTGCGGTGCTCTGCACATAGAACCCTAAACCCCAGAAAGCCCTAAACCCTAAAAAGCCCTAAGCCCTAAAAAGCCCTAAGCCCAAAAACGCTCTAAACCCTAAAAAGCCCCAAACCCTAAACCCTAAAAGCCCTAAACCCTAGAAAGCCCTCACCCCTAAAACGCCCTAAACCCTAAAAAGCCCTAAACCCAAAAAAGCCCTAAGCCCTAAAACGCCCTAAACCCTACACCCTAAAAGCCCTAAAGCCTAAAAAAACCTTAACAACCCTAAACCCTAAGACCCCTAAACCCCTCAAAACCTGCAAAGCCCCAAACCCCAGAAACCATGCAGATTGGAGGGGTGCGCACTGGATACCAAAAGAGCACCCTAAACCCTAAACCCTAACCCCTAAACCCTAAACCCTAAACCCTGAACCCTAAACCCTGACGCTGATTCTGGAGTGCGCAGTGGACGCTTTTCGGAGTGCGCACTGGAGCGCCCTGCCCTCTAGCACGCGCCAAATATCCTTACCAGCGCCCTTCAACCTAAACCCCAAACCCCACACCCGAAACCCTAAACCCTACACTTTAAACACTAAACGCTAAACCCTAAACCCTGAACCCAAATCCTAAACCCCAACCCTGAACCCTAAACCCTCATTAAACCAAATGATACCACATACAGTTTCATTTTATTTTGTCTTGAGGGTTTAGGGTTTAGGGTTTAGGGTTTAGGGTTTAGGGTTTAGGGTTTAGGGTTTAGGGCCCGCCCTTTCGCAGGCTCTAGGTGTCATCCTCGCCAGGGTTCTCAGTTGCTGCCGAAGCCCTAATTTCCAAACCCGAAACGCCCTAGACCCTATAAGCCCCAAACCCTACAATCACCAATCCACCGACCCCGACCTACATCTGAAGATCAAGCCCTAAACCCTGAACCCTAAACCCTAAACCCTAAACTCCAAACCCTAAACCTTAAACCCTAAACCCTAAACCCTAGCCCTAAACCCCAAACCCCTAAACAACCAATTCGGAAAAAGGAGCTGCACGAGCTCCTGGTGGAGCAGTGGGGCAGCGGGCCGAGAGGACTGTGGCTTAGGGCTTAATGTCGGGTTTAGGGGGTTCAGGGGTTTAGGGTTTAGGGTTTAGGGTTTAGGGTTTAGGGACTTAACTTAGGGTTTAGGGGTTTAGGGCTTTAGGGTTCAGAGCTTTAGGGGTTTAGGGGTTCAGGGGTTTAGGCCGCTCAAGCCCAAGACCCTAAGCCCTGATCCTCTTTGCGTGCCGTTTTGTGGCCTGGGCTTTGTAGAGATTTAGGGTTTAGGGTCTAGGGTCTAGGGTTTAGGGTTCTAGTTTGTTAGCCCTGCAAACCCTTCAACCTTGATGGGTTTTAGGGTTTAGAGATGTGGGTTCGGAAGCGCGAAACCTAAAATACCCCAAAGACCCTGAGGCCCTAAGAGCCCCAAATGCATCTCGACACACCCTGCAGCAGTCCGTGCCTCACCTGTAGCGTTGTTTGAAGTTTCATGGGCTTATCCTAGGTAGGATCAGGGGGGACCCTTGAAAGGGTACCCTTCTTAATCCTCTTCTGGCTCTCTTAAACAGGGACCGCATTTCAGAGGGTCTATATGCCCCAAGGGTCCCCCTAATCCTATCCCCTAGTTTAAGAAGTTCACTGACTGCTGGGAAACCCATTGCAGTTGCCCTAAACCCTAAACCCTAAACCCTAAACCCCAAACCCTAAACCCTAAACCCTGAACCCTATCAAGGCTATCAAGCATACAACTCCTAAAGCCGCCACGGACTCAAGCCCTCAAACTCCCTTAGTTTAGGGTTTAGGGTTTGGGGTTTAGGGTTTAGGGTTTAGGGTGTAGGGTACCTTGTTAGCACCCAGGCGGGCCGTCGGTGAGCGCTTGCGAAGTGCAGGCAAGTTGGTTTATCTCTTGGGGTTTGGGTTTGAGGGTTTGGGGTTTATGGGGTTTCGCGTTTGGGGTTAGGAGTTTAGCCTGCGTCTCCCTCAATTTTTCAGGGCTACCCAACCGCGTACAGTTAACGTATCAGTGTCTCTACCCAGCGCCCCTCCCAAGTCCAAATAGGGGCAGAAGCTGTCACATCAAATGCTTTGGGACAAACGGCTGCGTGTGTCAGAGAGGATGTGTTGTTTCTGTTCAGTTTGACGCAAGCACGCCGCGTCTGTGACGAGATGAAGGCCGAGCAGAAGTACCGGCACAAGCTAAACCCTAAACCCTAAACCCTAAACCCTAAACCCTAAACCCTAAACCCTAATTAACTCCTGTAGAAGCACATCGACCTGTGCGAATGCGCCGACGCTCTCGCCAGTGGCCTTGATGGCTTGACCCCGCGTGACTTGGAGCTCACTGTGAGCAAGCTGATGGGAGAGAACATCGTGATTCAGTGGGACATTCAGCTTCAGGTCACAGCCAAGAAGGGTCCTTCATGATGGAAGTGAGGATGTTTTCTTCACATCTGAAGTCATTTCACGCTGTTAAGCAATGAACAACCCTGAACCCGAACCCTAAATTCTGAATCCTAAACCCTAAACCCAACCTTTAAACCCTAAACCCTAAACCCTAAACCCAACCTTTAACAACCCTAAACCCAACCTTTAAACCCTAAACCCAACCTTTAAACCCTAAACCCTACAGCGCACCCTCACGCACCTTGGGCTTAGCATCCCAGCCTCCCAACTTGACAAGTTGGGCTTCGCGTGTTCTGCTGTCGGTGGCTCGGGGATCAGAATTTTGTGGCTGTGAAGTTTAGGGTTTAGGGTTTAGGGTTTTAGGGGTTGGGAGCTGAGGGCTTTCGGGTTTAAGGCTTCGGGAGTTGAGGGTTTAGGGTTCAGGAGTTTAGGTTTAGAAACAACCTAAACCCTAAACCCTAAACCCTAAACAGTTCTTCAGATTCAAGGGTCTAGGCTCCAAGCCATTCAGGTGCCTTCCACAGTCTAGTAAGGTACACCCCAAGCCCAGTACCTTACACTTCCAACCGTCTAGACCCTGAAGTTTAGGTTTTCGGGTTTAGCCCGAAACCCTAAACCCTAAACGCTAAACCCTAAACCCTAAACCCTAAAGCACCTTGGGCAGCCTAAAGGCCGCCACCGCCGAGTTAATGCTGGAGCTACGCGAGGCCCCGGGAGCACAGGACTTGGGGTTCAACCCTGGTTTAGGGGTTTAGGGGTTTAGGGTTTAGGGTTTAGGGTTGTGGCGTTTTGGGGCTTAGGGTTTGGGCTTTAGGGTTTAGGATTTGGGGTTTGGGGTTTAGGGCTTAATTTCGAATACCCCCCCCCCCCCCCCCTCCCTTCCTAGTACTCCCCAGATCCCAAAGGCCAAACTTAAAGCCCTATGAAACCCTAAATGCTAACGTCAAGCCCCCGGCTTTGTGGCAGAAGGCACACTACATGGCATGGCGGTTCCTAAAGAACACAAATTGCCAGCCCGTAAACTAGCGATGCCTTAAAGCCCTGAGCCGCTAGTTTCGGGTCCAGGACTTCGGGAAGAGCCTAAACCCTAAACCCTAAACCCTAAACCCTAAACCCTAAACCCTAAACCCTAAACCCTAAACCCTAAACCCTAAACCCCATGAAGCCCAAGATCCCCCTCATCCAGAGCCTGCTGGAAGGCCCTCATCGACCAGCGCGGTCCGGATGAGGAGAGGTTTAGGGTTTAGGGTTTAGGGTTTAGGGTTTAGGGTTTAGGGTTTAGGGTTTAGGTTTTATAGGGTTTAGGGTTTAGGGTTTATGAGGTTTAGGATTTAGGGTTTAGGGCCGTTTAGGGTTTAAGGTGTAGGGCCTATAAGGTTTTGGATGTAGGGTTTAGGCTTCTTCACTACTTTTGCTTAAGAACCCCAAAAGAAGAAAACAACTATATCCCTATGTTACCCTTAATAAGGAAGACGGTTCTTAAGAAATTAGTAGTTCAAGGGTTAGAGATAGGAGCGGGCTTCAGGATGGCGCGAAAAACAAAGCTGATCCCTACTGTAAGCCCGTCAACCCTCAAGCCCCCCTGGCAGAGTCGACACCCTAAACCCTAAAACCCTAAACTCCAAACCCTGAACCCTCAACGCGAAACCCTAAACCCTAAACCCCACGCCCTAAACCCTAAACCCCTAAACCCTAAACCTTATCCCTAAACCCAAAGCCTTAAGCCCTAAACCGTAGACCCTAAACCCCAAACCCTCAAGCCCTAAAACTGGAGGTCCTCAGCTGCCCTCAGCTCTACATCTTTGGCAACTAAAGTTCCTAAACTCTAAACCGTAAACCCTACCCTATAAACCCTAAACCCTAATCTCAGGTCTTGTTGTTTGGCAACTCTGGGGCTATGGGCTACTTGCGAAAGACCGGGGTGACTCACAACATAGTGTCCATCCAACTAGGGGGAACCCTGTTTCGTGAATGTACCCTAAACCACAAAAACCCTAAACCCCAAACCCTAAACCCTAAACCCTGAACCCTAAACCCTAAACCCTAAACCCTAAACCCTAAACCCTAAACCCTAAACCCTAAACCCTAAACCCTAAACCCTAAACCCTAAACCCTAAACCCTAAACCCTAAACCCCAATCCTGGCCAAGTACTGGAATGTAGGAACCCTGTAGGAGACAGTCTCGGAGCTCGTCGCCCTTGGCGCCAATGTCCATGCGACCTGGCTTGTGGGTTCAGGGTTTAGGGTTTAGGGTTTAGGCTTTAGGGTTTGGTGTTTAGGGTTTGGGGCTTAGGGTTTCGGGTTTGGGGTTTCAAGTACTGGGCTTCCAGGCCACAGGACTTTAGGGGCATCAGTTTTTGGTGCTTTTGGGGCTTTTTGGTTGAGGGTTTAGAGTTGGTTTAGGGTTTGGGGTTCCTACTACTCCCCTCTATACTACCCTTCTAGGTTCCACCCTTAAATAATTAGCCTTAATTAGGCTGAGTTATCCCTGGATAGCCTTCATTATGGGGGAAACTAGGGAGGGGTAGTATAAAGAGGGGGTAGTATGGGAACCGATGTGTTCAGGGCTTGATTCGGGTTGAGGGGGCTATCTGCACAAGCCAACTGAACATGTTGCGCAGATACCTCCCCTTAATTCACGCGAAACCCTGAACCCTAAGCCCTCAACCCTAAACCCTAGTAGTAGAGTAGGTAACCTTTAACCTTTTTGGGGTAATGTAATCCCCTTGTAATCCCAAAGGTTAACCTTTAGTTCCCCCAGGTTAGTGGACAACTAAGTAACCCCAAACCCCAATCCTAAACCCCAAACCCTAAACCCTAAACCCCAAACCCTAAGCCCTCAAGCCTAAACCTTCAACCTTAATCTAGCACGCAGATGTTAAAGTAGAGGAGCCCTCCGCCCCTAAAGATCCTTCTTGGGCTTGGAAGTGGAAACCCCTAGCCCTAAACCCTAAACCCTAGACCCTAAACCCTAAACCCTAAACCCTAAACCCTAAACCCTAAACCCACTTTGGCTTCTGCAAGGTCAGGGGCGTAGACTTAGACATCGATTTGGAGGACGAGGAGGACCGCGTGCTGTAAAGTCTCTTTACACAGGTGCTTGATGGCCGTGGCTTCTAAGCCCCCAAAACCCTAAACCCTAAACCCTCAACCCTAAACCCTAAACCCTCTTGGGCGGCTTGTAATGATGGCTTGCAACTTGGGGCACCTCCCCAAGTTGCCGCTGCCTACTTGAGGTCAGCTCTTGCTTCGAAACCCTAGCCCTAAACCCTAAACCCTAAACCCTAAACTTCAACTTGCTGCGAAACCCGCAGCTTTCAATAGCAAAGGCCTCATGGGGGTTTTCGATGTTGTGGGTACCTTATTGGGGTCCTGAGTACAAGGGGATCCTACTGTGTGGCGTTTCTATTCGGGGCCCCTTACTATCGTAAACCCCCGTATAAACGTCAGGATCCGACTGTAAGTAAGTTGCCCACATGCCGGGCACCACCCTTCATCCTATTAATCAATCAATAAATAGTCAATAAGTAACTAAGAATTATTTAATCATTAATAAATAATTAATTATACTTGGGGTTTAAGGCTTTTAAGAGTGTTGGGGTTATAACCTGAGGTAGGGTCCCCGAAACCACATAAACATAAGCATCCTACTTTTGGCCACAAGGGCCTCTTATGCGGGGGATTCCGGAAAACCCTCTTTTGCAGAATCCTCATGCTTGTGTGGTTCTTTGGCCCCCTAATTAAACTCTAAAATTCCGGCCGAATTCGATCTGCGTGGCTTTTTAGACTTGTCTTAATAGCCCGAAGCATACTTTCCTGTAAGCTGCTCAAGAATCTCAGAACAGGTTCTGTAGTATTCTGCCAGCGTAGACCCCGCAAGGGCATTCCCGTGGCACTCGAACATCTTTCCAGAGTAGTCCAAAAAAGCATCACCAAGAACACTTCATGTCTTAGGGTTTAGGGTTCAGGGGTCAGGGCTCATGTGGGTGAGCGTTCAGGGTGAATAGGTTGGGTTTAGGGGGTTGAGGGGTTAGCTTTCAGCGTTGAGGGCTCGGAGCTTCCAGGGTTTAGGGTTTAGGGCTTAGGGTTTAGGGTTTAGGGTTCAAAAGATCAGGCTTTCTGGTCTCTCGCTTTCTAGGTTTACGGGATTGTTTCAGGCAATGGCCTTACCACGAAACACCAAACCCCATACCCTAAATCCTACAGGAAACAGACGATGCGATGGATCATGACAGCGACAACGATTCTGACGGATCATGAGCGCAGGACACCCAGCCCGCGCGAGTTGGGTTTATTCGTTACTAGTTCTTAGTATAGAGAGTTCGAGAGTTAGGCTTCAGAACCCGCATTTAAGGGATTGTACCTGGGACCCTCTTTACCTACTAATTAAGGGTAGTTAGTACTAAACTGTAGGTAAGTGTAGGGTCCCAGGTATAGGCTACCTCATCTCTCGGTTCCCAATTAAGCTCGTTTTTGTTATCTCTGTCTGTTGATCGGTTCAGGGTTTGCGTGTACCTAAACCCCAAACCAGTTACGTATGTTCTTCGGCTGATTTTGTAGTAGGCAAGGGGACGGAAGCTACTCTGCAGTTGCGGCTCTCAGGAAAAAGCGGGGCGTAGGCCCTGATGGGCTTAAAAGGCTTAGGGGTTAGGGTTCAAGGGGTTAAGGGTTTAGGGTTTAGGGTGTGCAGGGGTCCATTTTCCAGACGTGTCAAGCTTCTCAAACCCTACGAAAACCCCGTATTCTGGTACCTACTTTTTGAGTACATTCTATTATTGGCCTCCCGAGCAAAGGAGCTACAACTAGGCGGTTTTTATGTGAACCCCAAACTCTACACCCAAACTCCTACACTCTAGACTCCTACACCCTAAACTCCCACACCCCAAACTCCTACACCCGGCGCCTTTTCCGAGTGGAGCCATGAAGCGGCCCGTGGACACTGGACGGGCACTGCGCGTCTGGAAGGTGTCCGGGCAGGAGGTGGCCTCTGTTGCCCAGGAGCCGAAGTGATTTTGGGGTTTGGAGTCGAGGTTACCTTATCAGCCTCTTTAAGCCAGAAGCGTGCCCTTAAACCCTGTAGATGCTCAACCCTAAACCCTAAACCCTAAACCCCAAACCCTAAACCCTAAACCCTAAACCCTAGGAGCAGCTCAGCGACGTGCGGAGCCTGAACCTGAGCTGCCCAATGGTGCATGTTGTGTTGTTTTGGGGTTTAGGGTTTAGGGTTTAGGGTTTAGAGTTTGGGGGGGGGAGGCGGGGGTTACAGGTTCCCTTTATACATGCCACTACAAACCACTCTAAGGCCTCTAAACTTAAACCACCCTAAACGCCCCTGAAAACCGTCAGCCCTAGTCCAGGTTTCTGGGGTGCCAAACCCTAAACCCTAAACCCTAAACCCTAAACCCTAAACCCTAAACCCTAAACCCTAAACCCTAAACCCTAAACCCTAAACCCTAAACCCCACCCAGGAAGCGGCATCTGCGGCACCTCTGCGGTTGCCCGCGCTTCCGACAGCGGCTGCTCTTGGGCGGCGTGTGCTTGGCGGACGATGCTCTGCTGGACTCGGCCACGCGGCTCCCCGGGTCGGTGGTTTAGGGTTTCGGGTTAAGGGTTTAGGGTTTAGGGTTTAGGGTTAAGTTTGGGGCTTTTTTCCTGAATATACTTGTTTTGGTAAGGGTTCGGTTTCCAGAAGATAGACCTCACGAAGGCAAGAAGTAAGAGGGATTCTCCTTCTCTATCGCCCCCTCCCCCTCCCAAGCTGCCCGGCCCCCTAAACCTCAACCCTAAACCCTAAACCCAAACCCCCAAACCCTAAACCCTGAACCCTCAACCCTCAACCTAAACCTTAAACCCTAATCCCCAAAGCCTAAACCCTGAACCCTCAACCCTCAACCCTAAACCCTCAACCCTAAACCCTAAACCCTAAACCCCTAGACTGCCTTTTTAGGCGATGGACCTACAGCTGGTGCTGCTGCCTCTTGTGGCCGCCTCGGAAAAAGAGGCAGCCGAGCTCATCGATGCCGCTGGAGAGGGCCAGGTGGCTAAAGTCGAGGAGTCTGGCGGTTTGGGTAGGGTTTAGGGTTTAGGGTTTAGGGTTTAGGGTGTTTTGGGGTTTTTTGGGGGTTTTAGGGTTTTAAGGTTTTATTTTTTATTGTTGGGTTTTTTTAGGGTTTTTAGGCTTTAGGGTTTCGGGTTTAACTCCTTAGGAACTCATACAAACAAAGCCAAGGAAACCCCATCCCTTTTTCTTCCTATACTAGGTAGCCCCTTGAGGCGTTGTACGGTTTTTGGTTTGAAGGATCATGAACTAGGAATATTGTATGCTGACGGGTTTAAGGGCCAATCCTTGTAAATCTATCCCTACGATGGCAACTTAGTGTCTACATGCCCCTTCTAGCAGCTTCCCAGGAGATCTTGCTACGACCCCAAGACCCGGATTTGAGAGAAGACAGTCTCTGTGAGACGCCTCTCTTAGCAGCAGCGGAGGCTGGCCACAAGGAGGTTGCGCGGCTTCTGTTGGAGGCCGGTGCAGATGTGGCCCTTCACATGGTTGGAACGAGGCAAGATCATTGGGACGTGAACTGCTACACCCCTCTCTCCATTGCTTCCCAACAAGGCCACGTGGAGCTAGTACGTCTGCTCCTGGACGGCGGGGCCGACACGAGCTGGTCCTGCCCACAGTACAAGTACACAGCCCTCTACTGGGCAGCAGAGTTTGGACATGCCGACATCCTGCACCTGCTGCTGGAGGCTCGTGCGAACCCGGAGGACGACACCGGGGCACTGGGCATGGCATGTGAGAACGACCATCCGGAAGTCGTGGGGTTGCTGCTGAAGGCTGGGGCGGACAAGAACCGTAGCACCCACCAAGGAAGAACCCCGCTCCACGCGGCAGCTTACAACCACTCGGTGGAAGCCGTGCGACTCCTCCTTGAAGCGAGGGCAGATCCCAACCGCAGGGACTCTGAAGGCGTCTTGCCCATCGAGGAAGTTACGAAGTGCTTCACGGGGTCCCTCGACCTGGAGAAGCCCTGGGGACAAGTTGCCCAGCTACTGTCGTGTACTTCCCGGCTGCCCCTGCTTGCGGTCACTGCAGCTTGCCGACGGGCCTTCCACATTGAGCCCTAGACATCCCAAACCCAAAACCCTAAACTCGAAACCCTGAACCCTAAACCCTAAATCCCTCTTCTAGAAAACACGAGACACCCCAAACTTTAGGGATTTTCGGGACCCCCGAAAGCTCATGGCCTTCAATTGAAGGCCCCAAACATCCCAAAATTGGAGCGACTGGGAAGCCCCAGGCCTAAACCCTAAACCCTAAACCCTAAACCCTAAACCCTAAGCCCTAAGCCCTAAGCCCTAAGCCCTAAGCCCTAAACCCTAAACCCTAAACCCTAAACCCTAAACCCTAAACCCTAAGCCCTAAGCCCTAAGCCCTAAGCCCTAAGCCCTAAACCCTAAACCCTAAACCCAAACCCCAAACCCCAAACCCTAAACCCTAAACCCTAAACCCAGGCTTCCCGGCCAACTCATCCCACGGTCACTCCGACTCCTGCAAATGCCCTGCGAGAAGAAATGGGGTTTGGGGTTTAGGGTTTAGGGTTTGGGGTTTAGGGTTTAGGGTTTGGGGTTTAGGGTTTGGGGTTTAGGCTTTCGCGGTTTTTAGGGTTGGGGCTTAGGGCTTGTAGGCGATAGGGGATGGTTTTTGTTGGTTTAGGGATTTTGGGTTTAGGGTTTAGGGTTTAGGGTTTTGTGTTTTGGAGTTTAGGGTTTAGGGTTTAGGGTTTAGGGTTTAGGGTTTAGGGTTTAGGGTTTAGGTTCTTGGGGTTTAGGGTTTATAGGGTTTAGGTTTTTGGGGTTTAGGGTTTTTGCGGTTTAGGGTTTAGGTTTTTGGGGTTTAGGGTTTTGCGGTTTAGGACTTAGGGTTTTGGGGTTTAGGGTTTAGGGGGCCGTTTTGTAGGTCGGGCAGCTGCTGGGGTAGCAGATGCCGGGCCTGTGCCTCTGCACAGTTCGAGGGGTTTACCAGCATCTTTCCTAAACCCCGAAACCCGAAACCCGAAACCCTAAACCCTAAACCCTAAATTTAAACCTAATTCTTCAAGCACAGCCCGTAGTCAGACGCGCTAGGCCCTACCCGACATCAGAGTATTCAAGACCCATAGGCCCCTAGACACCATGGCTCGCGACTTGCATCGTTCACATCCAACCTTCAGAACCCCAAACCACCTTTCTTCACATGAAGTAGGGTATATATTTCTGTTTTTGGTGAGTGTATATAAGGCTCCTTTTTGAAACCCTACTTCACATGTTACCTAAAATTGGTTTAGTGGTTTAATTCGGGTTTAGGTGTTAGGGCTTCTAGGCTGCTGAGGGCTCGTTGGCGTTCTGGATTCTTGCTGTATAGAACTCCCCGCCCCCCCAAAAAAAGACCCTGCAAACTAAACGCGAAACCCGCAAATGACTGAACAACTTCGGCTTTCTTTCGGGATTTTGACGCCGGCTTCTTCCTAGCATCAGTTTCAATAGGTCGTTAGAAGCCCTAAAAAAGAACCCGAAAAGCCCTCAAAATACATCAACGCGCCTAAACTACTATTTGCTAAAGAACCCCCCCCCCCCCCCCCCCCCCCAAAAAAAAAAGAGACAATAATCCCAAGATATTGCCCTTATAAGGACGAACATTGTGCATCTTTCGGCGGGTTCTGAAGCTAGGAGGAGGAGTAGGCCCCTTTTTGCTTTGTTTAGGGGTGGGTCCCCTCATAATCCCCTAAAAACCAAAGAGCGTACCCTTTCGATGCCTAGGTTACTCCCGGGTCTAGTAGCCCTAAACCCTAAACCCTAAACCATAAACCCTAAACCCTAATGGCAGTGAAAGCTCTGACTGCATCCAAAGGTGGCGTCTGCGGAGGGCCTTTTTTCTCTCGTGATGAGCTGCCCTGCCGTGACCTGAAGGGTCTGAGGCTTTAGGATTTAGGATTTAGGGTTTAGGGCTTAGGGGGCCTTCTTAGAAACCCAAAAGTCCCAGAGGGCGAAACCCCAAGTCCCAGACACCCTTAGGAGGGTGGGAGACGCGAATCTCCGCAGCCCCAAAGCCGCCAAGAGTCTCCAGATACCCTGGAGTCTAAGCCTCTAACTGGGTAGTGCTTTGGGATAATTTTAAGTTTCCCCTCTTTCCCCTTTAAGGGAACCTATTCATCAACAATTCTCAAAGGCTTTAAAGCACCACTGAGCCAAAAAAATCCAGGGTTTAGGGCTTAGGAAAC